CTCTATCTCTCATGATAAAGAACATGGTATTAGAGCTCTACGAATTCATGGGTGTGAGGGTTTGTAATTGTGTGGTTTAAGATCGGAATCACGATCGGAATCGCGATTGTGGTGTTGGTGTTCCTGTTTTCTTCATTCGTCGCTGGCGGCTCCTAGTTCACCGTCATCAGATCTGCATCGTCATTCGTCGTCGTCAGATCTGCATCATTCGTCATCGTCGTTGCCGACAGCTTCTTTTTGGTTGTCAGCGAGCTCGTCATCAGATCTGCCGTCTTGATTTACAGAGGTGAGGTTCATCGAATTGTTTTTTTTTTTGGCTGGAAGTTGCAGAGGTAGCTTCCTCTTGATTCGGCCGTTGCTTGTGACTGGGTCGCCATTGTCTCTGCTGCTTTGTTCACCGGCGTTTGTGAAGGCGTGAAGAAGAAGACCGTTGTTTGGCTACACTGTTATGCTATTCCAATCCTTATTTACTAAACCTGGAATAACTATTCCAACCCCGGTTTACTAAACCTGGGATAGCCCAGATCTGGCCCGTTTGACCAGATCCGGCCCGTTCGGCCAGAATACCAATTCTGCTTCTTTTTCTTCTCTGTTTTGCTAGGTTCAACATGGCATCCAGTTCAGATTTGTTTTCTCCCACATCCGGTCTTCATTCTCTCATGACTTTCGTTAAACTCAATGGGAATAATTACATACTGTGGGCTAAATCTATTAAAAATTTTCTCAAACGTAGAGGCCTTGGTACTCATCTGACTAAAGAGAAACTCAAGGAAACTGAAGCTTCTTTTGATGCATGGGAAAAGGAAGATGCTCAGATCATCTCTATGATGATAAACGGTATTGAACCCCAAATCAGTTCAACTTTACTTTATTTGGATACTGCTAAGGAGATATGGGACAGATTGCAGCAACTGCATTCTGGGAAAGGTAATATCACTCGTGTTTATGAGCTCTGTAAGCAGTATTTCAATCTTGAACAAGGTAATCATAGTATAAAAGAGTATTATTCCAAAGTTATGGGAGTTTGTGAGGAGCTGAATATGTATCAGCCCATTACTGCTGATGTTCGAAGTATGCAACAACAACGTGATGACTTTAATGTTGTCCGTTTTCTTACTGGTTTGTCATCAGCTTATGAGTCTTTTCGTTCACAGATTATGGGCAGTCCCACACTTCTGTCTCTTGCTGATGTGTTTTCTAGACTTCATTGCGCTACACTTGTCAGTGATACCTCAACTTTGAATACTGGGCAGAGTGGTGAGCGTTCAGCATTGATCGTTTCAAAGGGTGAAAATACTGCTTTCCGTGGAGGTCGTGGGGGATGCTCCACACGTGGCGTTCGTGATTCACGGGGAGGACGTGGCCGTGGCAAGGAATCACGAAAATGTACTCATTGTGACCTTTCTAATCATACTGTGAATTAATGTTGGGACCTTCATGGCAAACCATCTAGTTATGCAAATCAAGTTTCCTCCTCTCCGAATGATGTTGCTTCTGGATCTCACAATTTAGCTAAATCAGATATGGTCCCTGTCCCACGTGATGAGTATACTCAGTTTTTGTCTTATAAGCAAGCATCTAATTCATCTTCCACGGCTACCTTTGCCGAGTCAGGTACTGCACACACATGTCTATTGTCTTCCACTCGCAGTCCTTGGATCATAGACACTGGAGCATCCGATCATATGACTGGATGTTCTTCTCTTCTATTTGATTTTAATTCTGTAAATCCTTCTCAAAGAGTTACCCTTGCTAATGGTTCCTCCGCTAAGGTTTCAAGTTTGGGGACAACTCAACTTAGTGATTCCTCGTCTCTCTCGTCTATTTTATATGTTCCTCAGTTTCCCTTTAATTTAATGTCTATCAGTAAGCTTACTAAATCTCTTCAGTGCTCTGTTACATTTTATCCTACTTTGTGTGTGTTTTAGGATCTCAAGACGAAGAAGAAGATTGGTACGGGGTATGAAGCTGGTGGCTTATATTACTTTGATTTGGCACCTTATCTTGTGGCTCTTCAATCTTCTCTGTCTCCATTCCAGTGGCACTGTCGTCTTGGTCACCCGTCACTTTAAGTTTTGCAGCGTCAAGTTCCTAGTCTTAGTAATTTGAAATTCTTGTCATGTGAAGTTTGTAAACTTAGTAAGCACCATCGCATGTCTTTCAAGTCTAGGGTTAATAATCGTGTCTCTAGTCCTTTTCATTTGGTTCATTCAGACGTATGGGGTCCAATAAAGCATTCTTCAATCAATAAATTTCATTATTTTGTGACATTTGTGGATGATTATTCTCGCCTGACTTGGTTTTTTCTGATGAAAGATCGTTCTGAGTTATTTTTAATTTTTCAAAAATTTCAAAAAGAAATCAAAACTCAGTTTGGCTGCCCAATTCGTATTTTACGTTCTGATAATGCTAAGGAATATTCTTCAACCTCCTTTGATACATATCTTAGTGATAAAGGAATTATTCATCAAAATTCATGCGTTTATACTCCTCAACAAAATGGAGTTGCAGAACGCAAGAATCGACACCTCTTAAAAGTAACCAGTGCTTTTTTGTTTCATATGCGCATGCCTAAACGGTTTTGGGGTGATGCTGTTCTTACTGCCTGTCATCTTATTAACCGTATGCCGTCATCTATATTAGATGGCAAATCTCCACATCCTATTTTATTTCCTGATTCTCCTTTATTTTCTCTTACTCCTAGAGTTTTTGGATGTGTATGTTATGTCCACAATCTTGGTCCTGGTTTTGATAAACTTGACCCACGTGCCACAAAGTGTGTATTTCTTGGATACTCTCGTTCTCATAAAGGTTATCGCTGCTATAGTCCTGTTTCTCAACGGTACTTTATTAGCGCGGATGTGACCTTTTGTGAGTCCGTCCCATATTTTTCAGATAATGATTCAATTCTTGATATTACTCTTGAGTCGCCTCTTCCTGCGGTTCCACTTCCCTCACTTTCTCTTCAACCTAGATCTCCTTTGCCAGCCCCGTTACAGGTGTACACTCGAAGACTAAAGCCATCTGCTGTCGTGCCTCCTCCATCGTCTTCAGAGTCTTTGGATCCAACACAGTCCATTGTGTCTGATTCCTTGCCTATTGCACTTCGTAAAGGTACTCGCTCGTGTGTCACTAATCATCCCATTGCTCATTATGTCTCTTATAATTCCTTATTGCCATCCTTCTTATGTTTTTCCTCTCAATTGTCTACTACGTTTGTTCCTAAGACTGTGCAGGATGCTTTGTTTGATTCGGGCGGGAGGAAAGCAATGTAAGATGAAATGGATGTTTTGCATCAGAATGGCACGTGGAATCTTGTTCCATTACCTCCAGGTGTCAAACCGGTTGGTTGTTGCTAGGTATACACTGTGAAGTATCTTCCACATGGGTCCGTTGAGCGTTTAAAAGCCCGTCTTGTTGCCAAAGGTTATACCCAAACTTATGGTATTGACTATGATGAGACGTTTGCCCCTGTTGCTAAGATTTCTTCTATTCGTGTTTTGATTTCTCTTGCTGCTAATAGACATTGGCCTCTGTTTCAGTTAGACGTTAAAAATGCTTTTTTGCATGATGACTTAGCAGAAGAGGTTTATATGGAGCAACCACCTGGGTTTGTTACTCAGGGGGAGTATCTTCACACTGTTTGTCGCCTTAAAAAGGCCCTATATGGATTGAAACAATCTCCACGGGCTTGGTTTGGAAAATTCTCTGAGGCGGCATTAAAATTTGGTCTTAACAGATGTCAGACCGACCATTCGGTATTTCACCAGCGCACTAAAGCTGGCTTCATCTTTCTTGTAGTATATGTAGATGATATCGTGATCACAGGTGATGATTCTGAAGGCATTACTAAGTTGAAGTTGTTTCTGCAATATTGATTCCACCCTAAAGACTTGGGCAAACTTAGGTATTTCTTGGGTATTGAAGTTGCTAGATCCAAGAAGGGTATAAGTTTATCCCAACGAAAATATGTGTTGGATTTATTAGAAGAAACAGGTATATTGGGTGGTCGCCCGGTTGATGCTCCTATGGATTCGAATACAAAACTTGTGTCTGATGAGGGTGATCTATTTAATAATCCGGGTAGATTTCGTCGCCTTGTTGGGAAATTAATTTATCCCACTATCACTCGACCTGATATTTCATATGCAGTTAGTGTTGTAAGTCAGTTCATGGGAGCTCCTACAATGCCACATTGGATTGCTGTTCTTTGGATTATCCGATATCTCAAGCAAGCTCCAGGTGTTGGGTTACTATATAAATTTAATGGTCATCTCAGGGTAGGAGGTTTTACAGATGCCAACCGGGCTGGTTCTCCTTCAGATAGGAGATCTACTACAGGCTACTGCACATTTGTAGGAGGAAATCTTGTTACATGGCGAAGTAAAAAGCAAACGGTGGTAGCTCGATCTAGTGTTAAAGCTGAGTATAGGGCAATGGCCCATACTACAAGTGGGTTGACCTAGATACAACATTTTCTAAAAGAACTTGGGTTGACAGTTGAAGCTCCTACTCCATTGTTCTGTGATAATCAAGCAGCAGTTCACATTGCCTCAAATCCTGTGTTTCATGAGAGGACCAAACATATTGAAGTTGATTATCACTTCATTCGAGAAAAGATATTACGTGGGAGCATCTCTACTCCATTCGTGAAGTCTGAAGATCAATTAGCTGATATGTTTACCAAAGCATTGAGTCATAACTGGTTAAGAACTATCTGTTCCAAGCTGGGATTATTTGATATATATTCTCCAGCTTGAGGGGGAGTGTTAGAATGTTATATATATATATATATATATATATATATGTTGGGCCATTATGTAATTACATTATGTTAGTAGGGCCCTTGTGTTATTAAGGTGACTTGTATCATTTATATAAGCCTATGTAGGCTTATTAGGTTTTCTAGTGTGTGAAATATAGTACAAGTTCTCTCTCTCTCTCTCTGTGTCTCTCATGATAAAGAACATAAAGCAACAAAATGAAATAAATAACCATACCCAATGGAGGAGGTACTCTGCTGCAATGATGGCAGTTGCATATGATCTCATTGAACGATTTAATGTTGAAATCACAGTGGCTCCACTAGAAACAGTTAATGATGCCAATGATTTGCAGAATTCAGCAGGATTTGCTACGTGCTCAATTACCTAAGAGAAATACAAACAATTCGATGGATAACCAAATGAGTACATGTTTGGAATTTCATGTATGTAACTTTCAGACGACCAGACATTGCCTATGTTGTTGGAGTCGGGATTCGTGAGTCAGTTTATGCAGAAGCCAAGAGTGATGAATATACAAATAAGAAGCAAAAAAGAAAATCGAGAATCAAGAAATTCACTACAATATCAGTATATGTTAGGCAAACTACTTTACGAATCATAATACAATACTTCCATACATATTCAATTCTGTAACCGATAAGTTACTGAAGTCAGGAAAGCTGAAAAAAGTAATTCAGGCTTTTTTTATATCTGATACATTCAAGGCTTTTGCACTTAAAGCCAGGAATGCAACTTGCCCAGAGTCTAACTGAAGCCAAACAACCTAAATTGACTAGTCAACATTTAAGCTTTAACCAAACCAATCTGAGAATCAACCTCAGTTCACACATGATTAAAATAATTACATCCATACACATACATATATACAGACAAACAAAGTTTTATTGTATAGGGAAATAATATAGGATGGTTATAAGGCCTGTATGGAGCATAGTGTTGAGCATTGAAAAAGAAACAAGAACAACATGTTCATGTAGTGAAAATGAGGATGCTGTGATGGATGACAGGAGTGAGTAGAAGAGATAAGATTACTAATGGACGATTGAAGGGAAAACAAGGATAGCGCCTATTAATAATAAAATTAGATAAAGTAGACTCAGGTGGGATGGTCATATCCAACGTACATCTGAAGATGCACCGGTTAGAAGAGGAAGATTTGTTTACCTAGAATGTAAGTGAAAAGAAGCCCACCAAAACTTACATGGGATGAAGTAATTGAAAATGATTTTTAAAATAAATGTTAGAGGAAACAAGATTGGAAAAGAGAGTTCATGTGGCCAACTCCATCCATACGGAGTAAAGGCAAGGATGATGATGATGATGATGGACATTGTAGCTTTAAGAATTCAAGTTGCATAGAAGGCCATTATTAGTGCCTAATGCCTGTCTTGCCTGGAGGGTTGCTGAGAAGAAAGGCTAGAGAGTGACCTGACCTTTATATTTTTTCACAAAGTGGTTGCTCTCAGACTCTGAATATGCATCCTCACCTTTCGCTTTTACCATTTGACCATAAAATAACCCCTAAGATGATATTTGTGATCTTTAAGATTAAAAAGAGATCAGGGTTCTGGCGATGAAATAATTATGTAGATTCACAATCTCATAGAATGATTCTCTGTTGAGATATTCATACCCAGTGGAATAAGACTGATGCGAGACGTTACTTGGATTTTGAAATAACGATGTCTACAGTATTTATTTGGTGGGCAATGACTTATAAGTGTTTAAGATTTGGGTTCACAAAGACATCAGTGATGAGAAATTTGCCTCCTGATTTTCTGGACTTGCTTAATTCTATAACCAGAAATCAAGGAAGCCAGCAGTTTAGTTGCAGTTTCTAAATGACAATATATATGTATTAGCACTGTATAAGCATGCATGCATGTTAGCCGAGTTATGATAGCCATGAATTATGGAAGGACTTACCATATTAGCAGAGATATGATAACCACAAATCATGGAGTTTGACTTTATTTACGCATATGTCTAGCCATAGAATCTGCTGTGATTTGATTTAATTTCCTTTCTTATAATATATATATATATATATTTGTTTTGATAAGTAAGAATATATTAGAAAGTGTTCAAAAGGGCAACGCATCCTAGAAACTATACAAGGGAAAAAGCCCCAAAGAGGATCCTAAAGACCCAAGGAACCCAAAAAATCAACAATTTCCTCTATAGATTTACAATTTCTCCCCATAACCCAACTAAAAAGAGAGCTAATCCACGGTGGATATGATAGAGACTTGGATAGTGTGTATAGTGGAGAGCCGAGTCCGAGATGCTTGGAGGGCCACTCCCCTTTGTTTATGGTGGGGTTCATGGCGCAAGAGAAATAGAAGATCTTTTGATGGAGAGGAATCTCCAATTGGTCTATCAAATACACCAATACTTTATTTTTATTTTTGGATTTTTGGGCGAAATTGTAAATTTTTGGGGGATCTTTTGGAGTTCGTGGATAGCTTAAAATTTTAGTGTCGCCTTGGGTGTCCTTGGGTTCGCTCCCCTTTTTGAGGGCCTTTAATAATATCTTACTTATAATAAGGGTAAAATGCAAAAAACCCCCCTGAACTATTAGTAAACATGCAAACAACCCCCTGTACTACAAAAAATGCATAAAACCCCCCGAACTAGTCAAATTTGTTGCAGATTGCCCCCTCCGGCAATAATCCGGCCAAAAAGTCCCTAATTTGAGCGCGTGTGACACCTGATATAGGAATTAATTTTGATGGACAATAATGCCCTTACAAATATGAAAGGACCAATTCGCCCATGTATATATATATAATTATATATAGTTACAGACTATATATAATTATATATATATATATATATATATATATATATATATATATATATATATCACATTCGTACCAGAGAATCCCCAAAATTTGAAGCGCTAACTTTCGGTCTCAGTAATTCCTCTTGTTTAGCATCGATTTTCAGTAATTCCCACTCAAATCTCCATATCCAGGTGACTCTATCTATCCATCCGGCCATGTCCATGTCCATCCGGCCACCACCATCCCTCCTCTCTCTCTCTCTCCACTTCTTCACTAGTATTTCTTGGCGCCAACAAGAAATTGGAAGAGATGAGGGAAAAGTGTTGAGTAATACCATCATAATATCAAAATGTGTTCCAATTTAAAACAGGTTGTAAATTGGGGTTGATCGGATTTGGTGCATGATGGGTCTCTCTCCATTGATGGTGATTTTTGCAATTAAGATCGCCTTTCTCCATTGACGACATCATATGCTTAGAACGAGCCTATAAATTGCAAGCAAGGAATCGGTCTTGAGTTTGGCGAAGAACAATGATCTTAGGGTTGATTTGAATCAAGATGTGAGTTTGTTGTAAAAGATGATGATGATTGAAGGAACGGAATTACAGACACATGGTGGATTTTTTAAATTTTTTTCCTGATCATATGCTTAAGTTACTTTTACAGGAAATGGGTTTTCAAACCCTAGGCTTCAACGGTCGTTGCCATATCTTTCGCGTCGGATTGGAGGTCTATGGATCTCGTCAACAAAAAGAAAATCTCCCGTTGAATGATTTTCCACCCCTTCGAAGTTCTTGCCGTCGCCAGAGTTGGAGGAATTATTTAGAGAGAGAGAGGGTTTACAGATTCAGGAATTATTTGATGCTAATTTAGAGAGATGGAGTGGGTTTACAGACAGAGACCTTTGATCCATCTCTGGGGAATCAAACCCAGTTTTTAGCTAATCGATATCTTCGTTCGTGACGCTCTTGCTCCGTCTGCTCCGATGGCCGTAATAGCCCTCTGCTTTAGCCACGCCTACATATTCGGCGACTAAGAATTCTTGTTGCAGGCATGGATTTGATTGCAGTACAAATTTCCCTCTCTAAAACTCTCACCCAGTCTCTTTCTCTCTCTATTGTAAAGTATATATATATATATATATATATGTAAGGTAAATACATATATGCATATATGTATATATGTATACGGGAGAGAGACTGGGTTCGTCGGCGCCGTTTCTGGGTTCATCATGTATATATATATATATATATATATATATATATATATACATACATATATGCATATATGTATATTGGAAAGAGTCGTCGGCACGTTTTCTGGGTTATATACAGAGATTTTGATATTTTTGTGTGCCTGTGCGTGTGTGAAAAAGCTGGACAAAGGAAACAAGTCGGCTGTGGAGTAGGGTGGTGGTGAATACTGTACTAAAACTTTAATTTTGAGTTTGGTATATAGTGAAAAGGTGTTTAGGAGAGTAATTTAATAATTAAAATTATAATAGGTAAACTAAAAAAAAATTTAATTGTTGTCGCCTTTTAATTGGTCCTTTAGATTTCACTTTCACATCATCAGCTGCAAATTTCCTTAGCCTTAAACTGTGTTGTTTTATTTAGGGTACAATGGTCTTTTGGCATTTCCGGTACCGGAATGTTGACTCAGGGAGTAAACTGCAACACATGCATAGTTTGAGGGGGTTTTTTGTAGTTCAAGGGGTTAGTTGCAATACCTCAATAATTTAGCGTTTTTTTTTTGCATTTTACCCTAATAATAATAATAACATGAGAAATAATTAATACTATTAAAACATACATATTTTAATTATACATACTGACAGAATTACTGAAATTGGTAATCGAATCAATTGATTAAAGAATTGGGAATACATTGCTATATGTACATCAGAATAACGCTATTCTAGGAAACTAACTAATCCTAAAGATACACATTAATACATATAAAAAACTGATCCTTAGAAATCAGGGATTACAATAACTAATAAATCCCTAGCTATTGACAGCCTGTACAAGATTTCCTTATACAAGGAAAGAAATTAAAGAATCGTATTTTCCCACACATACATATATATATATATATATATGCCTAAATACAATCTATACCTATATACCAACAGGCCTGTGGCCTAGCGGTATAAGACTCCTACTTCCCAAAAGGAGGTTAGGGGTTCGAACCTCAGTGGAGGCAGTGTGTGTGAGTTTCCCAACTAGGAAAAAAAAAAAAAAAAACTATACCTATATATCGTCATGTCCTCGCCCTATCTGTATCACATTTCTTAAACATTTGACGTATCATTGTGTATGTACAATGTTTATAAAATCCTATTGTACATTAAATTTCCTAAACATAACCACTTATCATTCAGCTCTTGCACCTAGAGGTACTAAGCAGGTTAAAAATAAAATAGAGTTGTCACCGTTGTTATGGAATTCAGACTCAGTAGATCATTTGTTTGTTCTCCGTCCTTTTGCTAAAGAAGTTGGGAAAGGGTGTTCCAGTTGTTGAGTATTAATGTTCCTTCATTTCATCTCAGTGGGTGCAGTGGTTCTTGGATCACGTTAGGGGGTCTTCTATGCAGGGGTAAATTGGTTCAATGTCTCATGCCTACTGTCATATGGGCTGTTTGGAGGCACAAATGCTGCATTGCATGAAGAGTATAAATAATATACTCAAGAGGTTGCTGTCTTGTTTATGGGAGTGTCTGCAGCTTCTAGGCTTATCCTTGCAGGACTTTCTTGCACTTGATTTTAGCTCTTGATGTTTATGCCGGTGGCTTTTGTTAATTTTTTCCTTTCTTGCTTTATTTTGGCTATCTATTGGAAGTGGTTCTATTCCATAGTGGCCTTGTACATGGGGATATGCCCCCATTAGTCATTGTACTCTTTTGAGTTCTATTTTTTTTATATACAACAACCCCATTCAAGGAAGAAAAAAAGAAAGAAAGAAAGAAAAGAAAAGAAATTGTTGCCCATTGTTGAAGGATTTAAATATTAAAGTTACACTCTCTCTAACAGCTTAAGCTTTTGGAGTAGATGGTAGTTAACTTGGTATAGATTCCACACAAAATATGCAATAATATCAGCATACCTCTGAAGCAATCACAGCATCAAACTCTCTCTGTTCTTCAACCAGTTTTTCTGCCCACATAATTGCATACATGTGAGCTTGGGGATAATGAACTAGAACTTCACAAAAGGTAAATGCAAAAACACAAAGATTAAGGCAAACATTGATGAAAAAACCAGAACCAGTCATTTGCCAGTAAAATTACAAAGTCGACTGCAGATTTACCAAAATCATGTAAAGATGGGAAAGTTCCCCCCCCCCCCCCCCCAAGCAGTACAATAGTTTCCCAGTTTCCCCAGTTTCCATTGCCAGTAAAATTACAAAGTCGACTGCAGATTTACCAAAATCATGTAAAGATGGGAAAGTTCCCCCCCCCCCCCCCCCCCCCAAAAAGGTTTGAGAAATCATAGATTTTCTGCCTTGGACCGAACAAAAAAGAGGGAAATTCTATGATTTCTCAAACATTGAGAGTTTAGAAGCCCTATTTGGCCTTGTGTAGCTTTTGAGGGATGTGTTCCCCTTTTGAACACTTTTTATACAATCTTTAATTATCAAAAAAAAAAAAAAAAAAAATTATAGATTTTAATAATACATTGATAATAACAAAAGTTTTGAATGTTCAAAGCTTTGAGAGTTTAGGGGCACTATCAGGCCTTGTGTAGCTTTAATGGGTTGTGTTCCCCATTTGAAATATATATATATATATATATATATACACGTATTTTATCAAATATTAACTACCTCTTGCCTGTTTCCAATGTCAAAAAATTGATTGCTATGCCAAAACCAATTGATAAGAATTAAGAACACTATATACAACAACAACCAAGCCTTTTCCCAATTACTTGGGGTCGGCTACATGACTCCTATATATTTTTTTTTATTTTATTTTTATAAGTAAAAATGTATTAGAAAGCGTTCAAAAGGGGAACGCATCCCAAAAAAACAACACAAAGGCCAAAGCCAAAAAGAACCTAAGGGCTCAAGGAACCCAAAAAATCAACTATCCCCTCTATAGATTTACAGTAACTCCCCATAACCCAACAAAAAAAAGAGCTAACAAGAAGAAACTTTAGGGCCCCTAAAGAAGATTCCACTCCATCAAAAGATTTACTATTCCGCTCCTTCCAAATGCACCACCAAACACAAAAGGGTGTCGCTGTCCAGAAATCACGGGCAAGGGGCCCCACAAGGCATCCTATCCAAGCATCAATCAATCCTCTCGTAGACCTAGGCATAACCCACTTAACACCAAACAAGCCAAGGATAACACACCAACAGTCGTGAGCCACAGGTAATGCAAAAGAAGGTGATCAGTCAATCCACATGGTATCATATCTTTCTTTAGTAACTCTATCCACATTAACTTTGGTCTTCCTCTTCCCCTAATATCACCCTCAATGTGGACTATGCCACTTTCCCGAACCGGCGCACTTAAAGTGTTGACTTTAAGAGAAAATCGAAACAAGAGTAAAGAAGAAGAAGAAGAAGAAGAAGAAGGAGGAGGAGGAAGAGAGAAAGAGATGGGGAAAGAGAAAATGAATGAAAGAATAATTTCATCCTTCCACCACATTCTATTAATACTAACAAGTTTCAAAAATTACACATAAGAATCCAACATTATATAGTTAATAACAAATAAGCCCCTGACAACACTCTCTCTCAAGCTGGTGCAAAGATATCTATCATGCCCAGCTTGACTAACATATTTTGCAAGCAAGTCTTGCTCACACCCTTAGTCAAAATATCAGCCACCTGATCATGTGTGTTGATGTATGGAGAACAAATTAGCCCAAGATGAAAACTTCAATATGATTTATCTTGCCATGTTAAACTGGACTATGGGCAATTCTAATAGCAGTCTTGTTGTCATAATACAACTTCATTGACTAGCGAACAGGATAACCCAACTCATCCAACATAGTTAGTAGCCATAACAACTCACAAACTCCATGTACAATCTAAACTCAGCCTCTGCACTAGATCTAGCTACTACAGACTTTTTCTTGCTTCGCTATGAAATAAGATTACCTCCAACAAATGTGCAATATCCTGAGGTAGATCATTGATTTGTGATAAACCCTGCCCAATCAACATCTGTATAGGCTTCAACACGCAAGTGGCCATAACGACCAAACAACATCCCCTTACCGGGTGAACCTTTGAGGTAGTGGAGAATATGATGAGCTGCCTTAAGATGAGGTGTATGTGGACCATGCATGAACTGACTAATCACACTAACAGCGTAGAAAATATCCGGGAGCATGAGAGTTAGGTAAACCAGTCTCCCAACCAATCGCTGAAACCTTCCCACATCATCTAATGCGTCGCCATCCACATCATTAAGCTTATGATTCTGCTCAATGGGAATATTAATAGGTCTAGCTCCAATCCTACCGGTTTCAGCTAACAATCTAACACATACTTCCGTTGAAAAATGAACACCCCTTTCTTGGATCTGCACACCTCAATGCCAAGAAAGTATCTCAATGATCCGAGGTCTTTACCCTCGAACTCTGTTCCCAAGAATGACTTCTTTCAATGAATCTTTTCTGGATCATTTCCACTGATAACAATATCATCAACATATACAGTAAGGGCAGTGGTGCAACCCTAGTGCTTCTTGATGAAGAGAGTATGATCTGCCTGACTATGTGTGTACCCTACTCTTTTCACAGCAGTGCTGAACCTCTCAAACCAAGCACGCGGTGGCTGTTTTAACCCATACAAGATTAAGTTTACACACTAAATTCTGACTATTGGCAAGCTTAAATCCTGGTAGCATAGTCATATACACCTCTTCCTCCAAGTCACCATAAAGGAAAACATTCTTTACATCCATCTGATGTAAAGGACAATTCAAATTGGCTGCCAAAGAAAGGAGGACACGTATTAGAATTCATCTTTGCAACTGGAGCAAATGTTTCTAGATAATCAATCGGCCGAAAGTTCATCTTCGGGGAATGGCTATGGAGATTGGGATTTAAGAGGCACAAATTATGGCGGAGGGTGGTTGTGGACAAATATGGGGGGAGTTGAGAGGGGGCTGGTGCTCTTATGAGGTGAGACTCCTAAGTAGAGTTGGGGACTGGAAATTTATTCGGAAGGGATGGGATGGATTCTCTAAACATATTAGGTTTCGAGTCCGGGATGGCAGGGGAATCCGCTTTTGGGAGGACATTTGGTGTGGTGATCGTACTCTTGCGCTCACTTTCCCCGGACGCTTTCGGATTGTTTCAATTTGTCAAGCTATAGTGGTTGATTGTTATCGCCTTGATAGTGGGAGAACGGTATGGGATGATCGTTTCTTGAGGCATTTTCAGGACTGGGAAATTGAGGATATTATTGGTTTTTTGGAGATCAACAGGAGATCATGGGAGTGTTTCTGACTCTTGGATGTGGCTTTCCTCTTGTCAGGGTGGCTTTGATGTTAGATCTCTTTATAGGTGTCTTTTGGATACTCTGACCCTCCCTTTCCATGGAGGGCTATTTGGCATTCGAAGGCTCTGCTCAAAGTGGCATTTTTTGCACGGACATCCATCTTAGGGAAGATTTTGACTCAAGATAATCTATAAGGAGAAGGAGACGGATTTTGGTTAACTGGTGCTTTATGTGCAAGAATGATGAGGAAACGGTTGATCACCTTCTTTTGCATTGCCCAGTAGAGCGGGATTGTTGGATTTTGAAGTTAGGGGGTTGTTCAAGTATCAGTGGGTTATGTCGAGGTCTTCCAAATGTTTGATTGAGGCTTGGAAAGGATGTACATTGGGGGTTCAAGTTCATGATTTTTGGAGGGTTACACCTTTGTGTTTTGTGGTGCATTTGGCTTGAGAGAAATAGGAGATCTTTCGAAGGAAAGGAAAATCCTATTAAGTCTTTGAAATTCACCATTATTAGCACTTTTTTTTTTGGTTCTAGGGGGATAGAGTTTGTTGATCTTTTGGGTTCTTTGAGGCCCTTTCTAGTCATTTGTAGCTCTTGTGGGATGCGTTCCCGTTTTGAACGCTTTTTAATACATTATTTATTTAACAAAAAAGTATTAATAAATAGATCCAGAATCGCGATTTTAACAACTATGGTTTTAAAAGCCTTGCGCAAATCGAAGCAAAAATCTAGCCACCAAAATTTTTGATATCGAATTCACCAACTCATACTTGCAACCAGAACTTGATAAAAAAAAATAAAAAATCAGTAACTGCAGTTCATAGTGCAGGAAAAATTCAAAAGAAAGTAGTACGAACTGGCTCCAGATGTGGTAAGGCTTCATTTCTTCAAAAAAATTGATTGTATCCTAGAAAATGGAACCCACTAATCATGTGATACTTAAAACCTTAAAAGTTTTATTTTTAAGAACTCTTGTTCACAAACAGCGGTCAGCCAATTCAAAGGATCCAATACATGTAAATACAGGAGTGTAATATACATGTAGGAGTAAATATTTGAACAAACAGATTATGTCAAAGAAAACAAAAAAAATTTGACATGTACGGTGTACCAGCTGTTGTACAACGATACTCGATTGCTGAAGTCACTGGATCCAAAACCTAGAAAGTAAGCAAAGCTTGTAAGTTTCCATGTTAGAATTTAAAGCACAATTCAATAGATAGTAAAAATCTACTGATCAATGTAAACCCTAATCACCACAAACTCCAGAGTATGAAAGACAATTCATTTGGATCATTATGACAGCGGTGACAATTCAAAACTAAAGAATACCAACCCCACAGATAATTTAGAATCTGAGAATTAATAAGAAAAATATTTTTGTTTTGTGGGTAGGCATATGTCCGGTGTTTTGGGAGGGGAGGGGGGTATGAGCAAAATATAAATGAAACAAGGAGCCAAAATAATAGGTGAATGACAAAACATGCTTGTGTATCACTTCAGAGTAGTTCGGAAAGATATTTTAACCCAGCAACCAATCATTCAAAAAGGATCTCAACATTAAAGAACTACCAACAAACTATAGAATAAACAAGATGCAGTCTACACCATGAAACTCCACTTCATTGTGCTATGGGTAGAGTTTGATCTATCAAGCGTGAGAACAAGGACTCAAACCCTGTGAGCGACCACTTTGTACAAATAATGCCAAAGGTTAGGGCTGTATCCAGTCTACTCCTCTAAGCGCACTCTTGCTTAACAGGGACCATACTAGGTAAACCAACAATAGAATCAACTAGATTAGTATCAAGTAAAGACTTTCCAATATTGGTGATGATGGTAAAGCTCCTTAAAAAAAGTTCTGTATTTAGTTATTTCGCTTTTTGGCTCCATCTGGCAACCAATTCTGTTTCATGTTTTTTGCTTCTAAAACATGGAAGCGTGTTTGGTAACCTCTTCGAAACCATCATTTTTTTCAGATCAGCTTCCTCATTCAATCCCATCCTTCTCTACTCCTTGTGGGATGTTGAAGAGTTCTGTGGGAAAGAAGGATGTGGGTTTGATGCCAGATTTTCAGAAATTTTCACCGGTTAATGAAGGGGTAACAGAAGGCTGATCGGAGGAGGAGAGTGGGGAGGTCTCTGATTACTCCGGAGGTTCAGGGGCCTTAGAATGTATTGTTGATGGTTCTCACACTGTCGATGAGGATAATGAGATCACGGTGAGTAGGACAAGATGTTCGACTCCGTCTAAGTGATGAAACTGCCTCTGTTTTTATTAAAGAGCTCCGTTTACACAAGATGTTGAAAGGGATTAACAGATATGTGGATGTTGGGTCAGTTGAGAATGAAGACGATTAAGAAGGATTTTTTTGCACTCCTCTGGCTTGCAATAGATCATAAGCTTCCGTTTTTTATTGGGATGGGATGCCTGCGACGTTGCGAATGGAGACATGGATTTGGTGCCTTGAGAAGGGGTGTAAGGACATGGATAGCAGCCTGATGGTTCCCTTGGCAGCCATGTTACATGGACTCGGGTACGGGTGTCGGACACGGGTATGTATCCATGCGTCGAATGTGTCAAATCTCCAAATAGAAGGACACACGGACACGGCTAAATATTCATTTTATTAATTATTTTATTTTCTAGAGTAAAGTAATGTTTTTATCTAATATAATGTTCAATATAGGCATTTAACTCATTTTAAAGTAATAATATAATGTAATTGAATGATTGGATATGCTTTTTAAGTACATGTCCAACCAAAAGTGTTGGACACATATCCTATACCCATATCCGAGGGATAGGTGTCCGACACGGGTACTTTAAGTACTTTTGAAGAGTCCATGTAACAGAGCTTGGCAGTAATAGGGCCAGGGAAAGAGGGGGAGGAGGTCGCTATTGATGAGAGTGGGGAGGGTGGGATCAACAGGGAGAGGTGGTTGAAGGAGAATGATGGGACAATGGGTAACCTTGTTGGAGTGACTTTCGAAGGTGAGGGTGATCAGGTTGTGGGCTTGTTTCATTCAAGCCGGAAGGCGGTGTTGGAAGATTTTAGTTGTGACAGCTAATTAGCTTAATATTATTTGTATAAACAGCAGGTCTTCCAGCCTTAAGACTTTCTGTAGTTGCTTCCATATTTAGCTCCTTTATTTTAGAGATTTGATTATAATAATTGCTGTAAGTTAGGAGCAGATTGTAGGGTTTTTTTTTTTTGATAAGTAATTGTAGGGTTTTGTTTTAGACTTTTTTTCCTTGTATGGTTTTCCCTCTTTCCTATATATATTTGTACAATATGTAAACACATTAAGAAGAAATATTCAAATAAATTTTCTCTCTTAATAAACATGGTACTAGAGCAATAGTGTGAGAAAGAGAGAAAATAAAAAGAAACATGGGATTTGAGCGTGGCCAAGGTGGATCACTGGACTGAGTGATTACCTCTAACCTATTCTAGGACTAACATCTTAAGGCCTCGATTCTTCAAACTGTAGACACAGAAACAAATCTAAGCTTACCTCTAAATCCTCTGGTTCTGTCTCGCCACAGGATTCTCAGGCCCAGGTAGATCAAATGATGAAAGAGTATGCTCATAAGTTATCTTCAAAAGATACTTCTTGTAACTCAGCCAATAAAGGTAACTTTGGATCAGCATTGAGCATGTCTAGTTGTCTTGGATTATAGATTTGGGTACTACTAATCATGTTACACATGAATCTAGTTTTTTTTCTTCTTATAGTAGTTATCCTAGTACAAAGTGTTAAAACAGCAAATGGGTCTTTTTGAAAGAGAGAGAGTGAGAAAGAGAATATATGAAAACGTATATCCTATTGAGTGAGTAATACAATAATACAATGGTGTTTATATAGGAGAAGCTATGGAAGTAGGTGAGTGGAGAACAAGTAAACCCTATACATGGTAATTCTATATATGGTAATGAGGGGTAGGTGACAACTTATACAATACTGACTGTACACGTGTAACAACTCATACAATACTGTATAACACTCCCCCTCAAGCTGGAGAGTAAATGTCAATAACTCCCAGCTTGTTACATATGGAATCAATAGAGTTCTTAGGAAGTGCCTTAGTGAAGATGTCTGTCAGCTGTCTACCAGAAGGAACAAAAGGTGTAACAATCTCATTCGAGTCAACTTTAGATCGAATAAAATGGCAATCTACTTCAATGTGTTTAGTGCTCTCATGGTAGACTGGATTGCTAGCAATATGAATAGCTGCCTAATTGTCACAATGGAGAGGAATTGGGTACTGGACTGAAATCCCAAATTCTTGTAAAAGAGTTTTCAACCAAGTAAGTTCACAGACAGTGAGTGCCATGGCACGATACTCTGCTTCATCACTGGAACGAGCGACAACTGACTGTTTCTTACTCCTCCAAGTTACTAGATCTCCTATGAAGGTGCAGTAACTCGTGGTGGACCGTCGATCAAACCGGCCCATCTGCATCTATGCATCCCTCAATCCGAAGATGTCCAGAAGATCGATAAAGTAGACCATGCCCCGGAGCACCCTTAAGACTTCAAGATGCGTACAACTGCCTCCATGTGAGGTACCCGAGGATTGGTCATGAACTAGCTCACAACACTGACTGCATAGAAGATGTTTGGACGAGTGATTGTGAGATAAATAAGTTTACCTACAAGTCTCCGATACATCTCTGGATCATCGAGTAGGTCACCATTATCCACCGTAAGTTTCACATTAGTCTCCATGGGTGTAGTTACAGGTTTCGAACCAAGATATCCAGTATCTTGTAAGAGATCAAGAGTATACTTCTGCTGAGAAAGACTAATGCCTTGCTTCGACCGAGCGACCTCAATTCCTAGAAAATACCGAAGTTTGTCTAAATCCTTAGTAAGGAAGCTAGAACTCAAGTGATGAATTAGAACTTGTATCCCATCTTTATCACTGCCGGTGATAACGATATCATCTACATACACCACAAGAATCATAATACCACGTTTCGTTTTTTTTTTTTTTTGATAAGTAATAAAAAATTAAAAAAGGCGTTCAATAGGGGAACGCGTTTGATAAACATTAGAGAAACCGGGGTCTAAGGCCCCAAAGAATCTAAAAAAGTAATTAAGTTATCAGAAGAGGAACAAGAACTCCTCTTCGCATAACTAAAAAGAGAACAAATAATAAAAAGTTTCAATGTTGCTGTAGACGACTCCTTCCCTTCAAACATTCTACTATTTCTCTCCTTCCAGATGCACCACCAAACACAATGTGGGACAGATCTCCAATAATCACTAACACTCCTACTAACACAACAACCTCTCCAAGCATGAATCAACTCCTTAGTAGAACGTGACATTACCCAACACATGCCAAATAGGCCAAAAATAAGATTCCAGCAATCGTGCGCTACAGAGCAATGCATTAGGAGATGATCAACTGACTCCCCATCCTACTTGCATAGGCAACACCGATTAACAAAACAATTTCCCCTTTTCTTAAAAGAGAGAGAGTGGTCAACCTAGCTTCTGGTCATATCATGAGCTACCACTGCTTTACTGAACTTATCAAACCATGCACGAGGGGATTGTTGGAGGCCATAGATAGAATTTTTGAGATGACACACACACTCACCCTTATACTCAAACCCAGGTGGTTGAGTCATATAGACTGTCTCAGTAAGGTCACCGTGCAGAAAGGCATTTTTAACATCAAGTTGATGAAGTGGCCAGTCTAGATTAGCTGCAAGAGAGATTATTACATGAACAGAATTCAGTTTGGCCACAGGAGAGAACGTCTCAATATAATCAAGGCCATAAGTCTGAGTGTAGCCTTTAGCAACAAGTCGAGCTTTGAGACGGTCAACAGTACCATCAGGCTTCTGTTTAACAATAAAAACCGAACGACAACCAACAACCTGAGTATCAGCAGGCTTAGGAACAAGGTCCCAAGTATGATTCAATTTTAAAGGTTTATTTCTTCTTCCATAGCTTTCCTCCACCCTAGATGAGAAAGTGCCTCCTTGTAGGACTTCGGAAGAGCAATGAAGGATAATGACAAAGAAAAAGCTTGAAAGGAAGGGGACAATTTATTGTATGATACAAAATTGGAGATATGGTGATTGGTACAAGACCGTTTACCTTTCCGAACAACAATAGGTTGATTTAAGATTTGACAGTTTTCCTTAAGCCCGTAAGAACACCTCTATGGCTCGAGACCATTGAAGGTAGTTTGAGCCTTTCAGTTTGGTGCTAGCGATTGACCCAAGTAGATGGGATTCCTTAGTATCCAAGAGCTGCCGAACAAATGAGATATAGTAGTGAGAGGGAGCCGAGATAAGAGAACCAAGATCTAGCCGAGATAAACCCGAGAGAAATTATCGAGGAGAGAGTCGAGGAGGGATTCGAGAAAGATGGCCGAGACGAGAACTAAGATCATAGAGGATAGATCGCAAAGAAGAGATTGCTGAGAGAAAGCCGAGGAAGGATCCAAGAGAGATTGCCAAGATAAGAACTGAGATCACGGAAGAGAGATTGCCGAGAAGAGATGGTTGAGAGAAAGCCGAGATGGAATCAAGACCGGAGTATGAATAAGACTAAAAAAAAATTTAAAGAGGGATCGATTTCCGCTCTGATACCATGTAGAAAGAGAGGGAGAGAGAGAATATATGAAAACGTATATCTTCTTGAGTGAGTAATACAATAATACAATGGTGTTTATATAGGAGAAGCTACGGGAGTAGGTGAGTGGAGAACAAACAAACCCTGTATATGGTAATTCTATATATGGTAATGAGGGGTAGGTGACAATTCATACAATACTAATAGCACACGTGTGACAACTCATACAATACTGTACAACAGGTCTACTTCTATTGTGTCTGGGGAAGGTTTCATTCCTCTAACTTCTTCCATGTCTCTCTGTACCATCTTACATGTTCCATGTTTAACTGGTTACCTACTGCCCATTAGTTAGATTACTAAAGCTCTTAAATATTCAGTAACATTATTTAATATGCATTGTGTCTTTCAGGATCTTCTTATGGGAGCGAAGCTTGATCTTGGTAAAGAAATAGGAGGTTTGTGCTATTTGGATATGAATTGGGCTCTAGATGGAAAAACAAATCATGTGAGAGTAATACTAAGGCAATGGAAAACACCAAAATTAATGTAACTAGAAATCACAAGGAAATATATAGTGGCGTCCTGGCTGCTGATAAGAATTCTAATTTATCTTGATAATTTCTATTAATAATTCCCTATTGTTTGGTATGATCACACATGCACATACAATATATATATATATATATATATAGAATTAATATTTTTCCTTGTTCTATATTAGAATAAACCGTACCGCATGAAGGCGCGCAATCTTGATGTTCTTCTCCACAGCATCGACTCCCATTACAGTAGCTCCCATTCGTGCCAAAGGCTGAACAAGCAAAAGAAGAGAATAAAAGTACACAACAATCAGTTCTAGTTCGAAATTGTACTTGGGTAAAATTTCATCAAAGCAAATATAAGTTAAACTAAAAAACAACAATTTGTTTATTGTCAAAGACATGTGTCTTTATAAAGCCACTAGGATATGTAAGACAACTGTCATATTTTTTGTCTTAAGATCTTGAGGGGTTATTATTCTTGCAAATATTGTGAAAGAGCCAAGCAACAGCACCAACAACAAAATGACAAGTGAAATTACAATAATAGGGTTTCTTTATATATATATATATATATATATATTGTTGGAATTTGTGTCTCAAATTCCTATTCTAATTATGTTTCTATTTTAGAGTTGTATTCTGTTTAGTAATTTCTTGTTTGGCAAGTCTTGGTCTCTAAGAAATTGTAATCCTTGTCCAACAAGGAATTGGGTTTGGAACTCTATAAATAGAAGCATAGGCTTTCGGATGAGAGTTATGAGAATGAGTGAGATGTAGTCTCATGAGGGAATTGTTGATGGGTAGAGGTAGCAAGTGGGTTGGTAGAGTAGGAAAAACTCCGGCGACGCTGGTAGCAAGGAAATAGGCTCGTGGAGTGGTGGTGTTGGTACTCTATTGTTGTAATTTCTCTACAAATCATAGTGGAATCTCTTCTCACCCATGGATGTAGGCCGGTTTTGGCTGAACCATGTATATCTTGTGTTTGTGAGTGATTGCTTTGTTGGCTTTCTTTGAATCTTTTTTATTTGTGTGCTTCCGCTGCCCCAACATATATATATAACTATAAACCATGCACACATAAATATGGTAAAGACCATGCACTAAAGAGTACACCTACTCTTAAGCGAACATTAATGCACTACCAAAGACATTCGAGCCATTTTGCTATGTAAGGAATGCATGTTCTACTAAAAAAAAGGAAAAGAAAAGAAAATGAGAAGGAAGAAGAAAAGAACAAAAAAATGTATGGTTTAGCAATTGTGTAAAAAAGCTTCGAAGGAGTAATGTGAAACATGCCCCCAAAAAGCAGGTAATGGGTCAACAATCTTCTGGCACCAAAGGTAATAGCATACACTTCCTTGTTGGATAGCTGTCTCAAGACCAGTTCAGAACTTGCTCCCACAACAAGACACTATATGGGTCCACAATTTTTTCTGCTATGAATATATTATCTACTGAGCCATCTATGGTTGCTCAAAGCTAAAGAACAAATTTTTAGAATAAGGCAGTCACTAGCTTCAGTAACAAATTTTTAGAATAAGGCAGCCACTAGCTTCAGTATATAGTGATACAAGTATAAGAACCATGGATATAAATGTGCTGAAAGGAACGAATTAAAAGACACTTTCTTCCAATAGGTGTTTTGTATGTGAAACTAAAAGAGCCTGCAAAACAAGTGTATCTTTATCATTGTATCTCACTCTTTATGTGGTACTTTCTGTTAAGGACTGGTAGTATTTGGGTTATCACAGTAGAATTCACTTGCTTCTCATTTCTTTCTTCCTCGGCACCTCTTGATGTCAAAGTAAAATGGAGCAGAAGTTAACAATTATGGGTATTATATGATGTCTCTAGGGAATAAGAGTCCATAAGACGTGAGATAAGCTTTATATTTTGGGAAGGAATAACAGTCGATTTGCCCTGCAGTACCTCAAAATTTCAACCAACTTTTCTGTACAAACATAACCAAATATGGGATTGCAGTAGTTTCTTTGATCTTTATTCAGTCATGGTACATCTCAAATCATTGTAAGAATCAACCCCACCCACCACCCCCCTCCAAAAAAAAAAAGGATTATATATATTTATATCTATTGTATATAATAGGCGATTTCAAGATTGAAAAGAATCTGTATATTGCCGTACAACGAATGGTTTACAATGCTTTAGTTAAATAGGAAATACAAGGAGCTAAAAAAAGGAAACTACAGGCTGTGACCACAGGCTGTAACAGGAAACTACAGGCTGTGACTACAGGCTGTATACTAACAGAATTTCCTAACCTTAGTCATTGACTAACTATATATGCACGCCTATCATATCCCCTAAAATCTGGTCTTATTAAAACCGAATCTCTCTTTTTCAACACTCCCCCTCAAGCTAGCTTGTAGATGTCTTCCATAGCTAGCTTGCTTCTTAAAACTTCAAACTGTCTCTTGTGTAGTCCTTTGGTAAGGATTTCTGCAGCTTGTTCAGTAATAGAGACATAAGGAATGCAAATCATACCACAGTCAAGCTTTTCCTTGATAAAGTGTTTGTCAACTTCCACATGTTTGGTTCTGTCGTGGAGGACTGGATTATGAGCAATTGAAATGGCAGCCTTGTTGTCACAGTAGACTCTCATTGGAGAAACAATAACTTTCAAATCTTCAAGGAGTCTTTTTAACCACATAGCTTCACAAATCCCATGGGCGAGTGCTCTGAACTCGACTTCTGCACTACTCCTCGCTACTACATTTTGTTTCTTGCTTCGCTATGTGACTAAGTTTCCTCCAATGAAGGTGCAATATCCTGAGGTAGATCGTCTATCAACTATACTGCCTGCCCAATCAGCATCTGTGTAAACCTCCACTTGCAAATGACCTTGTTTCTTGAACATAAGTCCTTTACCTGGTGAGCCCTTTAAGTACCTCAGAATGCTGTACACTGCTTCAAAGTGTTCCTGTCCAGGAGAGTGCATGAACTGACTCACCATACTGACTGCAAATGCTATATCTGGGCGTGTGTGAGATAAGTAAATTAGTCTTCCCACCAATCTCTGATATCTTTCACGATCAACCATATTCTCGGGTTCGGCAGCTTCTAACTTTAGGTTGACTTCAATTGGAGTGTCAGCAACTTTACACCCGAGTAGTCCTGTCTCATTAAGCAAATCAAGTACATATTTTCGTTGATTCACGAAAATTCCTTCTCTTGACCTGGCAAATTCCATTCCAAGGAAGTATTTTAATGCTCCCAGATCTTTGACTTCAAAATCTTTAGCAAGTTTCTTCTTCAGTCTGGTCAACTTTTCACTGTCATCACCTGTCAAAATTATATCATCCACATACACAATTAAAATGGCAATTTTCCCTTCCTCACCGTGTTTGTAGAACATGGTATGGTCTGCCTGACTCTGATGATACCCATGACTCTTCACAGCCTTTCCAAAGCGTTCAAACCACGCTCTTGGAGACTGTTTCAAACCGTACAGGGATTTTTTGAGTTTACAAACTTTGCTCTAACCGTGTTTTCCTTCGAACCCAGGTGGCAAGCTCATAAACACTTCTTCCAAGTCTCCATTTAAAAAGGCATTTTTTATGTCCAACTGATGTAATGGCCAGTTAGAATTGACTGCCAACGACAATAAGACTCGGATAGAATTTATTTTTGCTACAGGAGCAAACGTCTCTTGGTAATCAATGCCGTACGTTTGTGTAAAACCTATCGCCACAAGTCTTACCTTGTACCTTTCCACACTACCATCAGCTTTACACTTAATGCCGTACAGTTTTCTTTCCTTTGGGCAAGTCAACTATCTCCCACGTTCCACTCCTTTTAAGAGCATTCATCTCCTCTAACACTGTTGATTTCCAATTCGGATCATCTAGTGCTTCCTGAATGTTTCTTAGAACAAACAAGTGAGAAATATTTGAAGTAAAGGCCCTATGTTTATGGGAAAGTTTATCCTAAGACAAGTATTTGGCAATGGGATGCTGGGTACCGGTTCGGATTCCTTTTCTAACAGCTATAGGGATATCAAGGTCTACAAGAACTTGGCTAGGTGACTCTGTATGATCAGAAATAGTAGGGACAACTGCAGACAAGTTAGGTTTTAGAGTACCTTGAGTGTTCAGGGAGTCATTGCTCGGGACCTCTAATTGGCCTTGCTCGGGTACAATAGTAAGCTCTCTACTCTTTTGATGAGTCTTTTCCTGTTATAAACCAGAAGCTCAGGATTTGGTTTTTTTGGAACCGTTGGTAGGATTTCTCCCCCTGTTGGAGGTACAGTAAGGCTCGGCAGATTAGGACTAGGAGGCCCCGGGTTTCTTAATTCTAGAACATCATTTCCCTGTTTAAAAAGATTAGTGTTAGGAGAAATAGAGTGTGAGACAATAGTTTTAGGTAAGGGAATATTAGTAGAAATCTCCCAAAAATTTTCTTCACTCTCTTTCTCACACTGAAGAACAGTTTTCTGAAAATAAGGATGATTTTCTAGAAAAAAGACATCCATACTGATAAACATTTTTTTTTGTTTTCGGATTCAAGCATTTATACCCCTTTTTATTCGGGGCATACCTAACAAATACACATTTTTCAGCCCGAGGATCCAATTTAGACCGAAGTCTACTAGGTAAATGGACAAAGACAGTGCACCCAAATACTTTCAAAGGCAAGTTGCAATAAATCCGAGTTTCAGGAAAAGATTTTTTTAAGGCTTTCAAGGGGTGTAAAATAGTTAAGAACACGAATAGGCATCCTGTTAATCAAATATGTTGCTGTTAAAACGGCTTCACCCCACAAATACTTAGGAACATTCATTGAAAACATGATGGCACGAGAAACTTCAAGTAAATGTTTATTCTTTCTTTCAGCAATTCCGTTTTGTTAGGGCGTGTCAACACAAGTGGATTGGTGAAAAATTCCTTTTTCTGTTAAAAAACTTCCTAAAACTTCATTAAAGTATTTGGTGCCGTTATCAGTATGAAGAATGCCAATTTTTGTTTGAAATTGATTTTCAATCATCATATAAAAATCCTTGAATTATTTTTCAACCTCAGATTTTTCATTCATTAAATACACCCAACACAAACATGTATGATCATCAATAAAAGTCACAAACCATTTTTTTCCAGAAAGAGTTGTGATCCTAGAAGGGGCCCCAAACATCACTATGGATTAAATAAAATGGTTTTGATGTTTGGTAAGGTTTGGGAGAATACGTAGTTCGATGACTCTTTGATAAAAAACAATTCTCACAATAAAAAGATGGAACAATCCAATCCTTTAAACAAAGTAGGAAATAATTTTTTAAGATAAGAGAAACTAGGATGCCCTAGTCTAAAATGCCATAGCATTATTTGTTCTCTAACAGGGATAGAACGAAAACTACTCAGACCTTGAGCCTTTTTATTACTTGAAATATCATCTTCAAAATAGCAGAGACCATCTATCATCTTAGCACTGCTGATCGTCTTCCCCAAGCTCTGGTCCTGAAATTCACAATAGGATTCAAAAAAGATAACACGACAATTAGAGTTTTTGGACAATTTACTAATTGATAAAAGGTTACAAGCAAGCTTAGGGACATGAAGGACAGACTTAAGATCCATAATTTTTTGAAGTTTTACCAAACCTTTGCCTGCAATAGGAGAATAAGAACCATCGGCTATTCTGATTTTTTCATAGCTAGAACAGGGTGAATAAGTTTGAAATAAATGAGAAACACTTGTCATATGGTCAGAAGCCCCTGAATCAATGATCCATGGGGTAACACTGGAATTTGAACGACAAGGTAAGGCCTTCGGGTTGTTACCTGTTTGAGCAAGAGAAGCATTAGGAGTACCAGATGAGGAATTGAATTTTAGTAATTTTAAAAGATGATCCATCTGTTCTTTGCTGAAGGGAAGTGTCTCGGCTTCATGAGCTGATGGGGCTCGGTTGAATCTGCCTTCCTGGTTGAATTTGCCTTCCTGCTTACTCTTCCAATTCGCTGGTTTGCCATGAATTTTCCAGTAGGTTTCACGGGTATGGCAAGGCTTGTTGCAATGGTCACACCAAAGACGGGGCATTTCATCATGTTTCCTGCCAATATTCGCTTCAGATGCGACTAGGGCAGAGGTCTCAACAGCACCATTTGATAACTTTTTTCCAAGCATGACCAGCCTGCGACTTTCCTCTCTTCAAACCTTGAAGAAGACTTCACCGATTAAAGGCAAGGGTCGTCGTCCAATTATTCTGCCTCTCACTTCATCAAACTCGACATTGAGTCCAATGAGAAACTTGAAGATGCGGTTGTCTTCTACCTTTTTTTTGTAATGGTTGCAATCTTCAGGCGATTTCCACTCATAATCGCTGAACAAATCAAGGTCCTGCCACAAACGTTTTAGAGAGTTGAAATATTTTGTAACACTGTTATCTCCTTGACGGATCTCTCCGAGTTTCAGCGTTAGTTCATAGACTTGAGACTGATTTCCCAGGTCTGAATACATCTGGTTGACATTGTCCCAGAGTTCTTTTGCTGTGTGGTAACAAATATAATTAGAACTGATATCCTCCTCCATAGAATTCACCAATCAGGTCATCACCATCGAATTCTCTGCATCCGAGGTCGTGTAGGATGGATCTTCAGGTTTCGGTTCTTTCTTTTCTCCCGTCAAGTAGCCGATTTTGCCTCTGCCTCAGATGTACATCTGCACGGACTGGACCAGCGAAGGAAATTTTCACCGTTCAGTCGAATTGTGGTAATCTGGACTGAGTGTGTCTGAGAGTTTTGGACTTGGAACTCAGAGGTCTTGGTCTTGGACTCAGGTACGTCATCAGACATGGTGATTAGGGTTGTTTGGAAGAGAGAAAAAAAGGGACGGCTAGGGGTTTTTTATTTTCAAAAGAATCGGTAAGATGCTCTGATACCAAATAGGCGATTTCAAGACTGAAAAGAATCTGTATATTGTCGTACAAATAATAGTTTACAGTGCTTTAGTTAAATAGGAAATACAAGGAGCTAAAAAAAGGAAACTACAGGCTGTGACTACAGGCTGTAACAGGAAACTACAAGCTGTGACTACAGGCTGTACACTAATAGAATTTCCTAATCTTAGTCATTGACTATCTATATTTACATGCCTATCATATCCCCTAAAATCTGGTCTTATTAAAACCGAATATCTCTTTTTCAACATATATATATATATATATATATATATATATAGAGAGAGAGAGAGAGAGAGTAAGGGCCTCAGGAAGTTGAATCTTGATAGATGCTCTTTATACAATAACCAATAAAAAAAGTAGCTAGGACAAAGCTTCATCAAGTCAAATCTTTACATGAGGATTGCCCTTCACCAAGGCTCACAAATCTGTCAAACCTTGAGGTGATTTCTCTAGCTAAGAAAAAAATAACCTCTTACCATGTAAAATTTCTAGGGAAAATAGATACCAACAATGGAATCTTTTTGAGTTGTTTTTCATTTGGTCCCATATGTGTTAGCTGTGACTCTTTTCCTCCAGAAAATCTCTTCCACCTAGGGTTTGCCATTGAACCAATCTGTTTGAGAACAGCTATGGCTTGGCTCCACAAGGGCTCAGTTCATGTTCGTAACCAAGCTCAAACAAAATTATTGGGCTTGTATATTAAATGAGCCAAGCTCAAACAATGCTCTGCTTGGCTCGTTCGTTCGTGAAAACATTCGTGAAAAAGCCCACTTAGAGGCTCGTTTTGAGCACATGAACACACAAGTATATATATGTATAGCATGTATACACATACACACACAAAATTCCATATGTCTATATATTCAAGTTACCATAGATAAAGCCTAAGCCCAACCACCCCAACCCAACACAATTTATTTTCTCTTTTTTGAAATAAAACAGCCCTAGTGAAATGGGCCGGGATTCCTTTGTAGTAGTACAGTTCATATTTGTCCTGCTTTTCTCAAATTCCTTTCCTAAACTGGAGGTTCTAAAAGGGTATTCCGACTTATAGCCCCCTATGTTGTAAGTGGTAAGGGGAGAGTTACATCATGAAGTTCACATTGCACAAGGGCAAATGGCATTCTGTGCCATCTGTGCGTATCGCTTGTTGCACAGGTCACTCCTAAAGTATCTCAATGGATCCCCGTCTTGTCCAATGAGTTTTTAAATTGGAAGCATCCTCTGAGGGATGGTCTGCCCTTTTAGAAGAATTTTCCCAAGTCTGTTGTTGATGGCCCTCTCCCTCTTAATCAGATCAATAATGTGCTGAGGGGAGGAGGCTTTGCCTCTGAAGGCTCTGTCATTCCTCTCAAGCCTGGCTCCATTTGACTTGTGCAATCTTAATTTCGGCTTATATTCCCACTAATGTAATTTCCATTACCGATGAACAAATATTTTTATCCGCCAATTTATTTAATGCTGGAATCAGGTCTGGCCTGATGAGATAAGAACTCACCATTGTAGTTAGTTTATTCAAAATTATTAACTAGTATCATGTCATGTATCTTTTAACAGATTAATTATCAGTCCCATTGGAAAATTTAGAGGGAAATTTTCCAATTTCACAGCAAATTTCGCTTGATACCCAAGCAGTATTGTAGGCTCGTGTCGTGAGATCTTTGGTCAAGTCCTATAACAAGACTTTGATCGATTGCCAAACAGACTAGGCTATAAGGAATAGAGGAGTTAGCCGATAAATATGTGCTCCTCGATTGCGCTTGCCTCCTAACCCAAAAGCTTAAGCTATTGAGTAGTGTTGCATAACCCACCCATATATACTCAATACTTTACCCATCTAGATCCAATATGGGTTAAGAACCTCTAATATCCTTCCCCACCCAAACTTGCAACACCCTTGTTGCGGTTGGCCCACCCTGCCTACCCAGGTGGGGCCTTGGTTACCTTCTGGGCAGGCGCTTAGTGTGACACCAGATCAAGGAATGGTCTGGCTCTGATACTAACTGTAATAGTCCTGGATACCCACCGATATATACTCAACGCTCTCCCCATCCAGATCCAAGGATCAAATGTGGGACAAGAACCTTTAACACCTAGCCTATTACTTTTCCCTAAGCTCATTCCTATAAACTTATCTAAAACACTAAACTTTTATTCTCCTCTTCTATTCAAACAACCTACCCCGCCAACCACCCTCTAGCTGTTGTGAATCTTCTCCCTCAAGGTTGTTGGCAACTTCACTAATAATAAGCACCCATCTCCTCTGGTAATTGGCAACTACCAAGAATTTCTCCACTTCCTTTCTCTTTCTCTTTTCATCTCTTTCTTTCTATCAAAATTTTCTTGCTAGCTTAGGGTTTCTATTTTCTTTCAAAATCATTGTTCATATTAATTAAGGGGGGATTTTTTTGGGGTTGTAAATCACTTTCTTTTGTTGATTCTCTGCGTCTATCAGCTCTCTTTTGTTCTCCATGTCTCACTCTCTTAAAGTTTATTTATTTTTAACCTGGCAATACACTCAAATTTTGGTTATAGTTTCCTTCCAATCTTTTTTTGCACAAATTAATTGCTATGGTCTATCTTTCAAATCTTAGGGGTTGCAAACTGTTGATTCTCATAACTGATAACAAGTTTGAGCTCGGCTCGCCAAATCAAACAAGCTGGTCAAGCCGAACTCAAGTTTTTCAATCTCAGCTCGGCTTGTTTACAGCCCTACCTCCACCTGTCGTTACTTACTTGTTCCTTAAATGAAGTTATTACACAGACAGCTCCGAAGATCTCATTGTATTCGTGGCAACATTAGAATACAACTTAATCATCTATGCCCAAATTTTCATGACACTAGAAAAGTACGACTCAGAAAATGACTGAACAATATAAGCCCTGTTAACAAACTAAGTCAGACCTCTAACGAACTTTCAAATCTTCAATCTTTAACATGTTGATGGGCATAATATAGGAATACAAGGAAATGAAGAATGCATCATTGACTATGTAATTAGTCAGACATGTTAAGATAATGAAAAACGAAACAAGCAAAAAAAAAAAAAAACCACACAAAAAGCAAAAACAAAAAACAAAACCAGCAAGGCAATTGACAGCAGCAATTGAAAATGGTACGTTCTTGAAGAGGTCGGTGTATGCAAAAAAAGAAGAAAGCCATTGGCATGAAAGAATAATTATAAATTGGTGCATCATCCAAATTTAAAGAATGATATACCTCTGATAGAATTCCCCCTCCACATCCAACATCCACAAACTTTAGTCCTTCAAAAGGCCTAGCACAATTTGGATCCTTTCTGAAACAACAAAAAGTGCAAGACGTTCATTCGGTCAGTTTTATAACAGGGCCAGAAGAATAATAGATGAAGAATACGCAAACTTCTAAAGGGATTTCTTGCAATGGATCCAATAAAGAATTCTGAAACATACAACACCAAGAAGTAACCAAAAACTTATTGTTGGAATTTTGAAATAATTGAAGAGGTAATCAAAAACTTATTGTTGGAATTTTAAAATAATTGAATTCAATTATTTTTTGCCCATTCTGAGTCAAAAACTTCTGTAGTATTCCATTCATAGGAAGGTATTATCCAGATAGTTTATGATAGTACAAGCTAAAGTCAGGGATGGCTGAATGCTGAACCTTTCCCCAATTCAACCCATCCAAATTCCAAACAGAAGGTATATAGACCCGATGCTGGTTTTGCCTTGCAGAATGCTACTCCTCCTTCTGGGTTTACGGGTTTTACGAAATGGGAAAGGGGAGTGTCGCGGGCAGAGGAGAGCTCCAGCGAGAAACACCAGCAAAAGGGGCAGTTGCCAGTGAAGGTGGAAGCTCCAGTGGGGTGCCTGTTGGAGAAGACTGTGTTTTGGGTAATTTTCAGGGAGGGGCAGGAATGGACGGAAATGGTCTGTCTAGGTTGTGTGTGGTGTGGAGATTGCGGATGATAGTTTGTGGGTGACAAGGCACTCAAAATGCACTCTAGCCAGCCTGCTGAAGACCTATTCTAAGGGTATCGAGTTACGGTCAAACATGGAGGATGGAGGACATATTTTGTGTATTGGAAAGGGGATTCAGTTGAACCTTCAGAGGGAGTCGGCAGCTTTGTTAGCAGAGATGAAGCTGTACAACAGGGAAGAAATTTTGGGCAGATTGGGAGATGGCACTAAGCGTACTATTGCAGCAGATTCAGAGTGTGGATTTGGCTCTTCATCTGATGGGGAAAATGAGGATCAGCTTAGTGCTGAGGCCAATGAGGGGCTGCAGAAGGATCCATTTGAGTTTAATCATGTGATAGTGGTTAGGGGAAGGTGAAAGATGGGATCCCCCACAACCTTTGGTAGTCATGGTTCACGAAGGAGAGGGTGTTGTGAATGAACAGTCCATGGTGCACACTGAAGAGGATTGATTAATGAGTACTATTGGGGAGGTGAGTAAGAAAGAGCCTTGGGCTATCCTATGATGGGAAGGAAGGACGGGCTATGGAGTTGTTTCTCTATCGATGTGGAATGGAGGGTTGATAAGAGGAAGAAAAAATCAACTAGGAGGGGGGAAAAGAGAGAGAGAGCTACAAATCCTTATATCCTTTGTGAACTATGATGGTAGGAGTGGGTAAGGGAAAGGGAGAAGGGCAAGGGAGGGAGGACTGAGGAGGAGGGAGGAGAAAGCTATTGCGTGCACATGAAGACACACATCATATCATGGAATATTCAGGGTCTCGGGTGATTTGCTTGCAAGAGACGAAGTTGGCTTCTTCTTCTAGGGAGATTGTGAGGAGTATTTGTGGAGGGTGCTTTATGGAGTGGAAGGTGCTTGATGACATAAGTTTGGCAGTTGATATCTTGGTGATGTGGGATAGGAGGTGGGTGTTTAGAGCGGATGTGTAAAAGAGGACATTCTTTGTCTTTTCAGATAGAGGAGGATGGAGATTCTTGGGTGTGGATGGAGGATCTGTAGAGGCTTTTGCTGGGGAGAAGCTTTGCCTAGTTTGGAGGAGATGGGGTGGCATGTGGTGTGTGTGTGTGTTTGGGGGGGTTGCAGGGCTTTAACGCTGCCAAATTGCTCTCGCTAGGCTAGTGTTGAATCATATAAGTTTGTTGTTTGATTGTGAGGGGTTGAGGAAGACTCCATTCAAATTCAACAATGTGTGGCTTCATGCAAATGGGTTCCTGAAGAGGGTTTGGAACTTTGGAGTAGGTGGGTGGGCTACGTGGTAATGGGGAATTCAAGTTTTGTACTTGTAAACAAACCTCGGGGCTTGAAGGAGGAGCTGAAGAAATGGAATAGGGAGGTACCTGGCAACCTCGAATGGAGGAAGAACATAATCTTATTAGAGATTGCCGAGGTTGATCAGAAGGAAGGAACAGAGGACCTAGGTGGGGAGGAAAAGGGGAGGAGAGAGGAACATAAGGCGAAAATTGGAGAGATTATGGTGATGGAAGAGATTTCGGGAAGGCAAAAGTCTAGGGCTTTGTGGCTTAAGGAGGGGGGCCGAAATACGAAGTTTTTTCATATGTTGGCCAATGCTCACCAGAGAAGCAACCACATCACGCAGATCAAGAGTGGGTCTATGTTGAGCAAGGAGAAGGATGTGGAGAGAGGTGTCACCTCATTCTACTAGCAATCATATAAGGAGACTTCGGATTGGAGACCTCTTTTGGGAGGTTTGGAGTTCGACTTGATTTCTTTGGAGGACCAAGTGCGCTTGGAGAGGCCTTTTGAGGAGGAGGAAGTAGACAAAGCCCCGGGGCTGAATGAGTTTTTCATGTGTTTCTTTCATCAGAATTGGGAGGTGGTGAAGAAGGAGATCATGGAGGCAAACAACTTCTTCCACTTGCATGGGAAGTTTGACAAGTCAATGAACGCTTCCTTTATTGCGCTCATTCCTAAGAAGGGTGGTGTTGTTGACGTCAAAGACTTTAAGCCTAATAGCTTGATGGGTAGTATGTAGAAAGCTCATAGCCAAAAAACTAGCAGCAAGGTTGAAGGAAGTGCTTGATGGGCTAATCTCACTCTCAGCATGCTTTTGTTAGAGGCTGTCAGATTTTAGACTCAATGTTGGTTTTGCGGATGGCCGAGTCAGAAGTGGAGGGCCGGGAATGGTGTGTAAGCTTGATGTGGAGAAAGCTTATGACCACGTGAATTGTGAATTTATTGATTTATATTCTGGAGAGGATGGGTGTGACAACCTCTGTGGGCGGGTGCGAGACATTGGAGGACACTGGCAGGCTACAGGATGTCATGATCCCACATCGCCTAGGGAAGGTGAAGTGCTATATGTAAGGTTCAACACCCTTCTATAACACAACGCATTTTAAAGCCATGATGACCATGAACCCAACAAAACTCCAAAGTTAAGCATGCTTACTCCGGAGTAGTACCAAGATAGGTGACATCCTGTGAAGTCTCGGTCCGGGGGAGCCGAAAGTGGACAATATTGTTTTTGGGTAGGGTAAGGGCTGTTACAATGGGTTCGGGGAGGGTGGAAGGTATGGATCCAATTCTGTATTTCCACGGTGCGATTCTCAATCTTAGTGAATGAGTTCTTTATGGCTTCTTTGGTAGCTCAAGAGGCTTGCAAAAGGGCGAACCCCTATCTCCTTATATTTTTATCATCATGAAGGAGGCTTTTAGTAGACTGATGAGGAGAGCGGGGGTGTTAGGTTACTTCAGAGGCTTCGGGGTTGGCAAGGCTCATTGAGGTGTCCCATTTGCTTTTCGAGGATGAAACCATTGTGTTCTGTGATGCGAATGCGAGCCAAGCGGTATTAAAGCTGAAAATCAACCTTGGGAAGAGATTGTGCCAGTGGGGTGGTGAAGGAGGTTGATCAATTGGCTAGCGTCTTGGGTTGTAGAGTTGGGTCCTTCCCGATGGTCTATTTGGGATTGCCTATGGGTGTCCACTCAATTAGAGTGGCATCCTGGGATCCAGTTATGCAACGATTTGTAAGGCTGCTGGTAAGGTGGAAGAAACAGTATTTATCGAAATGGGGGCATCTAACCTTTGCTAAAGAGCACCCTTTCGAGTCTTCCTACACAATTCATGTCTCTATTCCCGATTCCTTCTTCTATGGTGAGGAGAATTGGGAGGCTGCAGAGAAACTTCCTATGGGGTGGGCATGGGAGATGAGTTCAGGTATCATCTTGTGGGTTGGGAGCAAATTTGCAGACGTGTACGGGATGATGGGCTGGGAGTAAGAAGATTATACTTGTTCAACAAAGCTCTGTTAGGCAAGTGAGAGATAGAGATTTTGGAGGAGAGTCATTTGTTGTAGATATGGAGATATTCGAGGAGGTTGGTGCTCCTTGGTGGTGCGGTCCCCTGCGGGAGTGGGCTTATGGAAGAACATTCAAAGGTTTGGAATGAATTCTCCAACACATTTGCTTCAAGGTGAGGGGAGGGAGGCATATAAGTTTCTGGAAGAGTCCTTGGTGTGGCGAGAGGCCTTTAGAACGGATGTTTCCAAGATTGGTTGGGATTGAAGTGGATAGGTATGCGACAGTGCTCATTGCTATATTCTTGATAGCGAGAGACATGCACTTCGAGAGACATGCACTTCAAGAGACATTTAAAGAGTTGGAGGATATGTTTTTTTTTTTTTTTTTTTGATAAGTAATAATAAATTAAAAAAGGCGTTCAATAGGGGAACGCATCCCGTGGACAAAGGAACCGGGGTTTAAGGCCCTAAAGAATCCAAAAAAGAGATTAAATCAACACAAGAGGAACACGAACTTCTGTTCACATAACAAAAAAGAGAGCGAATAATAAAAAGTTTCAGTGTCGCTGTAGACGACTCCTTCCCTTCAAACATTCTACTATTTCGCTCCTTCCAGATACACCACCAAATACAATGTGGTACAGATCTCCAATAAGCACGAACGCTCCTACTCACACGGCAACCTCTCCAAATATGAATTAGGCCCCTAGTAGAGCGTGACATTACCCAACACATGCCAAATAGGCCAAGAATGAGATTCCAATAATCGTGCGCTACAGAGCAATGCAAAAAGAGATGATCAACTGACTCCCCATCCTGCTTACATAAACAGCACCAATTAACAAGAAAATTTCCCCTTTTCCTCAGATTATCGATCGTCAGAATTTTTCCCCAAACAGCAGTCCATACAAAGAAAGCCACCCTAGTAGGGACCATAGAGCACCAAATAGTCTTCCATGGAAAATCATAGGATGCGAAATTAGACAGACATAAAAACAAGGACCTTACTGCAAAACGCCCGTGAGAGGAGGGAATCCAAATCAAATTGTCAAAACCCCTACCAATTCCTTCTTGCCGATACAATTGATCCAAGAAAATGCTCACCTCTTCCAACTCCCAATCCTGAAATGAACGCCGAAAATGAACATTCCACGTAATCCCACTATTATCAAGCTGATAACAGTTAGCTACTATGGCATGTTTATCAACTGCAATACTATATAACCTGGGAAATGTACGACATAAAGGCTGGTTCCCACACCAAAGATCATCCCAAAAGCAAACGCAACTACCATCCCGAACTCTGAATCTGATATGAGAGGAAAAGGCATCCCATCCTTGCCGAATGGATTTCCAAGCCCCAACTCCTCCCGCAATAGAAACCGGACGTGTAGTCCATCCGCCAGCATCTTCCCCATACCTGCAAGACACTAATATACGCCAAGGACGATGTCTTTCCTTCCCGAATCTCTACAACCACTTACCCAGAAGAGCTTTATTAAAAGGGATCAATCGTCTAATACCAAGACCCCCCAACTTTATAGGCTTGCAAACTTGCTCCCATCTAACAAGATGATACTTGAACTCATCTCCCCTTCCTCCCCAAAGGAAATTCCTTTGAATTTGTTCAATTCTATCAGCAACGGAGCATGGAAGTTGGAACAAAGAAAGAAAATAAGTGGGAAGACTTGATAAAGTGCTCTTAATGAGAGTTACTTTACCCCCTTTAGATAAATATTGCTTCTTCCAACCAGCCAACCTCTTTGCATACCTATCAAGCACAGAATCCCAACTCCCCACCAACCTGGAAGAAACCCCTAGGGGCAGACCCAGATAAGGGATGGGAAAGGAATTCACCCTCCACCCAAGAACTGCAGCTAAAGAAGAGATGTCCTCAACATTCCCGACCGGGACAAGCACACTCTTGGCCACATTCACCTTTAACCCGGAAACTGCCTGAAAGCAAGCTAGAATGCACCTCAAATATCTAAGTTGGAGTTGGAGGATATGTTTTGAGTTCTTAGCTTTTGTTTATAGCCAGCCTATTGTTGGTTGCGTATGGATGATTGGTTCTGGATGGGAACGAGTCATGGGAGGTTTAAGGTGCGATTTTTTATTGTCGTCTTTTGGTGGTTCAAGGATATCATTTCCAAGGAAATCAATTTTGGCGCTCTAAGGCCCCCTTTGAAGTTGGCCTTTTTTTGGATGGATAGCTGTTTTGGGGAAGATCTTAACTATTGAGTATTGACAATCTAAGGAAGAGGCATTAACTTATAGTCAATTAGGGTTGTATGTGTAAAAGGGATGAGGAGTCAGTGGATCATCTCCTCTTACATTGTCCCAGAGTTAGAGGCGGATGGGACACGTTGTGTGCCATTTTTGGGATATAGTGGGTCATGACAGAGTCGGCGTTGAGTTTGAGTGATGCTTAGGGAGGGTGTTCCATGTAGCCTCAAGTTAGAGATGCACGGAGGATGGCGCCGCTTTGTCTGTGGTGGGACTTATGGAGAGAGCAGAATAGGAGATCCTTCGATGGTATGAAATCTCCTGGGGGGGTGTTTAGATTCTCTGTACTTAGTTCTCTATTTTTGGGGGTTTAGGGATTGGATTGTAAATTTTTGGAGATTCTTTTGTCTTTTGTGGATAGATTAAGGCTATAATTTTTTGTTGGTGCAGTTGTTTTGGGCCGCGCCCCCGTTTTGCCTGGGGGGGTGGGTGTTAGAGGATGGGTGAAAGTAAATTCCCATGACAAGTGAACATGCAGATTGAATGGCTAATAAATCTCAATCTACGACATTTTAAATCATAACAAGATCCCTTAATAATATAATACTTCAAACCATGCATCCCTTTATGAACTTGAATTTCTATGAGGTGTCGTAATCGTGTCGGACACCGTGTAGAACACCGACAACACTTCATGAACAATCCTAGACATGTCTCTGACACTTCATTTCCATCTACAGAATTTTGAATTTTTTATTATATTTTTAATAAGTAGTGTCCATAATTTTCATTATTTCAGACACTTGGTCCACACATCTTGGACATTGGTTCTACACAATCCGGACACTCGACAACATATCCCACACTTTATCTTGTATAAAACAAACATATGGCAATCCGAGAACAACATTATGAATACATATATCAAAGTGTCCAACTTCTTTTTCTTTAAAAAGTTGATATTAAACACGTCATAGTATGTAATACGAACAAAAACGTCACTACAATGACAAGATCATGGTTGTTAAAGGCGCCGAAGGCGCGCGCCTGAGGCGCCAGGCGCCACCTTGGCGCCTTGAAAGGCTTAGGGCGAGGGCCTTGTTATAGGCGTGCGCTTTTGGGGCTTAGGCGCAGGGCTACAGGCACGGCACAGGCGCGCCTGTTTGAAAAGTTTTTTTTTTTGATTTTTTTTTTGATTATTTTGGTTGTAAGTCTTGTGAGTTGTGACTTGTGTGAGTGACAGACCCATGTGATATATTCAGATATGTTACAGTCACTTTTGTACTTTAAGCTTTTATCAGTTGTCAAAAAAAAAAAAAAAAGCCGGAAGCAAAAAGCAAAAGGAAAAGGGAAGAAGAGAGTAAGAGACAGAGAAGAGAGAGAGAAGTACAAGCCGGAAGCTCGTCGGATCTGCTGTCTGCGAAGCCCGGATCTGCAAAGCGCCGATAAGTTCTTCTCCTTGCTTCTTCTTCTCTCCTTCTTGCTTCTTCTTCTCTGTTTTTTTTTTTTTCTTTTTTCTTTTTTTTTTTCTTCTTCTTCTTTTCTTCAGTTCTCTTCTCTCGGCTCTCCTCGACTCCAGAAGTCTAAAGTCTTGCTTTTTATTTTTTATTTTTTTATTTTATTTTTTTTCTTTGAGCCGAGTCTCCGCTCTTCTTTATTTTTTTTTTTCTTCTCGGCTCTTTTTTTTTTTTTCCTTTCCTTTTCTTTTTTTTTTTTTTCTTTTGCCCTCTATTCTTCTTCTCTCGGCTCTCACCCTCTCTCCGATTTTTTTTTCTTATTTTTTTTTTAATTTTTTTTTTTCTATTCTTCTTCTTCTCGGCTCTCTCTGACCTTTTTTTTTAAAATTTTTTTTTTCTTTCTATTCTTCTTCTCGGCTCTCTCTGCTTCTGCTCTTCAACCTCTTCTTTTATTTTTGTTTTTTATTTTTTTATAATCTGAGTTGCTGGAATAAATTGTAGTTTACAATTTTACAATTCTCTGCTGCTAGAATAAATTGTAGTTTACAACTTTACAATTCTGAGCTGGAATAAATTGTAGTTTACAACTTTACAATTCTGTGCTGCTGGAATAAATTGTAGTATACATATCAGTTGGTATATGCCTATATGGTATCATGCAGTCCATATATGCATATATATTACATCTCATATAGTTGATAAATCTCATATAGAATTTATCATGCAGTGTCCATATATGCCTCTGATTCTTTGAAGCTCCGTAATTTTTTTTTTTTTGTCAGAGTTGTTGTAGACACTGATTACATAATGCTAATCATGTTATTATTTTGTTATCTTGAATTTGATTGTAGTTTGTACTTTAAAAGATGCCTAGTGATGGTTCAAGACCTAGTGATGGTTCAAGAAAGGATCCGGCATGAAATTACTCACATTTGGAGAATCCGAAAGATACAAATGCCGTCACTTGTAACTTTTGTGCAAAAGTTACAAAAGGAGGTATTTATCGGGCTAAGCAACACTTAGCTGAAGGGTATAGAAATGTGAGTGCATGCACAAGATGCCCATCTAGTGTTAGAGAAGAAATCAAAGAGTACATGAGTAAGAAAAAGGAAGAAAAAGAGCAAATGAATTTGTTACCTAGTGATGAAATTAATTTCCTTGATGGAGAGGATGAGGATGATGTAATGGAAGCTAACAATCGGGGAAAAAGGGTAGCTAGTGCAGGTAGTGGCAATGCTAGTGTCAATTCCTCAAGGATGCAAAAGCAAAAAGGACCGATTGATTTATATTTCATTCCCAGACCGGAAATTGTGGTACAAAAAAGAAAGGAGGGAGGAAAACAGACAACCATTAATGATGCATGCAAGAAAGAGTTGAGAGAAAGAGTGTGTGCTGCTTTTGCAAGGTGGATGTATGATGCAGGAATTGCATTCAATGCTGTTAAGTATGATAGCTTTGCCGAGGTTGTTGAAGCAATTGGACAATATGGTCCTGGCATGAAACCACCTAGTTATCACGAGGTGAGAGTTCCTTTGCTTAGGAAGGAATTGGATAATACCAATGCTTTGATGAATGATCACAGAGAGGAGTGGTCAAAATTTGGATGCTCATTAATGGCAGATGGGTGGACAAACAAGAGAGGGAGAACATTGCTTAATTTCCTAGTAAATAGTCCAAGGGGAACCATGTTTATTGAATCGATAGATACTTCTTCTTTTTCAAAGGATGGTGCAAAGATGTTTGACTGACTTAATAAATTTGTGAACCGCATTAGAGTAGCAAATGTCGTTCAAGTCGTCACAGATAGTGAATCAAGCAATAAGTCTGCCGGTAAGAATGTTCAATGTTTATAACTTTTAGAGTATGTAAATTCTTTATAAATATATAATTTAAATCTTCTTTGATTAATATATAATTTATATCATTTTTTCTTTTTTCCGTTTGGTTTCAAATAGGGAGGATGTTAGAGAAAGAACACCCACATTTGTATTGGACACCATGTGCTGCTCATTGCTTAGACTTGATGTTAGAAGACATTGGGAAAATACCGTCCATCTCTAGAACAATGCAGAGTGCGGTGGAGTTGAATAGTTATATCTATATGCGTCCAAAGTTGTTGAACATTATGAGGAACTTTACTCATAAAAAGGAGTTGCTTAGGCCCGCTAAGACTCGATTTGCTACATGTTTCATCACATTATCAAGTATTCACAAGCAAAAGAATAACTTGAGAAAGATGTTTACTTCAGAAGAATGGAATCGTAGTAAATGGGCGAAAGAGGAAGCCGGTAAAAGAGTTGCTTCTTATGTTTTGATGCCTTCCTTTTGGAACAACATTGTCTTTAGCCTTAAGGTTTCCGGTCCTCTTATTCCGGTTTTGAGATTAGTTGATGGCGAGAAAAAGCCTCCCATGGGATACATTTATGCGGCTATGGATAGGGCTAAAGAAGCCATTGCAAAATCATTTGGGGAAGTAGAAGACAAATACAAGGATATCTTTGAAATAATTGATAAGAGGTGGAATGTTCAACTTCATCGCCTTTTGCATGCAGCAGGTTATTATTTGAACCCAGAATACTTTTATTCAAATCCGAAAATTGAAGAAGATGAAGAGATTGCAAAGGGTTTGTATGCACGCATTGCAAGGTTAATCCCAGATATCAAAGACCAAGACAAAATTACTGAGGAGCTGTCCTTATATTCTAAAGCTGAGGGCCTCTTTGGTAATCCCTTTGCTATTAGACAGAGAAATACACGAGGACCAGGTAAAGTGGTAAAGTATATTAAGTTAGTATAGCTAAGTGTTAAAATTATTTTGACAATAGAGTCGATAGAAAGATGAAGCTAAAGTTGCTAAACATCATTATTAATTTTTTTTAATAGTTAATTGGTGGGAAGTTGATGGCAAGTCAACAAAACTTCTCCAAAAGTTTGCTATAAAGGTTTTAAGCCTTACTTGCAGTTCTTCTGGTTGTGAACGAAATTGGAGCGTGTTTGAGCATGTAAGTATATACTATCTACTAACTAGGTTTGTAATTTAATTGTTGAAAGTTAAAATTTTAATTTTTTATACTTACTAGTTGAGGTTGAATTTATTGCAGCTTCATAACAAGAAAAGAAATAGGCTCGCTCAAACAACTTTGAATGATTTAGTGTTCATCAAATATAATAGAGCATTGAGGCGTCGATATAATATGCGTGACACTCTTGATCCCATTTTACTCGGTGACATTGATGAGAGCAATGAGTGGTTAACGGGGAGGATGGATGATTCTGATGCAGAACATGATCTAGTCTATGAAGATGATTCCTTGACATGGGGTGATGTTGCTAATTTTGCTGGTATTGGAGAGGCTAGCAGGCCGCAACGGTCTACTAGACCAAAATCTAGTTCTAGTTCACGGTTACCAACAGAGGGAGCAGGAAGTTCTTCAGTTCGACTTGTGGATGAGGATGAGGATGATTCAGATGAGATAGAAGAGGATCCTGAGAATTATGAATCATTTAGTGACGATCAAAATGATGTTATGCTTATTGATGACGAGGATGATATTTAGATTCATTGGTGTTGTCTTCTTAGGAAGAAATGATGTTTATGTTTGTTTTAGTTTTATCTTATACTTCTCCTTAGTTGACTTTCGCATCTTTATATTAATATGTTTGATTATTCACTGTTTTGAACTCAAGTACTTGATTTACTTGGTTTTGGCATCTTTATGTTGAATATTTAACTTAAGTAATTCATTTAGTTGACTTTTACATCTTTGTATATACTATTGCATCTTTAATACTTTATTGGGTGAGTTTTGTTTTTTTTTTTTTTCCAACGTGCCCCTTGCTTCAGTCGGGCGCGCGCCTCGCCTCGCGCCTTGCGCCTCAGGCTCCAAGAGGCATTTGCGCTTTTGTGCGCCTTGAGCCTTTAACAACTATGGACAAGATAGAATAGTAATATCATATATAATATAATTTATTCTTTTTTACTTATCAATATATATATATATATATATATATATACATAAAATTTATTCTTTTTTATATTCAAATAGCTTCACCTTCTAACTCATGTAACTTTAGTATAAAAATTATAAAGTAATTACAATTCTATAATTATCTTACTCATTAGATATATAAATAAAATTTTATATTGTCCATGTCGTCTATGTCCATGCTTCTTAGCTGATGAACTACCATTGGAGATTAAAAGCCTATGCAAATGATGCATCATCGCAGATAAGGTGAAGAATTATTTTCAATTTTTCACAATGACAACCTGGTGTATCAACATAAAGCATATGTAGAGAGAGATGCAAAGAAAGTTCAGCAATATAAGATCTCCTCTCATAGAAGACACGCTAAAAAGAAAAGGGAAAAACAAATATAAATTTCAATAAATATTATTGAGATTTACTTATCAATATATATATATATACATATATATATATATATTATTGAGATTTTCAGGTTGCATCTGGATTCTTTAAGTCTTTCCTTTTTAGTTAATTCCTTCTTTTTTTTTGTGAAAATCTCCTCCCACCCTTGCTATGTTCCTTTTACTTTATACATATTTGGTAAGCCAGGATTTACTACTTCCAAAATTCATGGCATGTCAGAACCAACTACGACATGGAATGAAATGGAAAAAAAAAAAAAAAGGTAAAGGAAAACACACGATCTACCTGAAATGTCGGCAAAGGGTGGAGCGGATGAAAGTAACTCTTGTAGGGTTCATCACATGTAATGGTTTAAATGGTCCTTTAGCATCCCACCTAATTATAACATGAGAATGGGATCACATTAAATGATTATCCAGAACAATGCATCAGTACCAAGGTTCATTGTTAGCATATTGACATAACATATGTATACTTTTATGAGAGTAACCCATGCCTTCCAAGTTCACATTAAAATCAAAATAGGTCATATTGACGAACTGGAAGTCAAACATCTTGGTGATGCTTTTGTGAAGGAAGTTCAAAGGATACCCAAGGTTATAACTCAAAAATCTCATAATTTCAAGGATGCCAACATGACAGTTTTGAGAAGATGTCAGTATATCCAATATGTATCAAAGTTGTTGCATATGTTTTGCCTTTGTTTTTTGTCTTTTTTTCCCAACAAAATTAGGAAAATAAACGCGTAAAGGAGAAAGTGGAGATAATGTTAATCATAGAACCAAGGGAGGATGGGTAAATGGAGAAGCGGTGCATCCCTTAAGATCGAAAGGAAAGTTCTATAAAACAGCTATTAGACCAGCCATTCCTAATGGGACAAAATGTTGGGCAGATGAGAAACAACATATGCACACTGCACAGAGTGTTGCGGAATTTGATGTACACCAGGATAAAATAAAAAATAGAAAAGAAATAAAAAGAAAAGAAAAAAAGAAGAAGATAAAATTTGAAATGCACACATTTGTGAGATGATTGAAGTAGCATATATTGGACATAAAATTGAAGAAAGCAATTAAGATTGTTTGAAACATGCAAAGAAGACACACTAAGTGAGGAGCGACATGGTCATATTTAAGGTAATGCTAGGGAGAGGGAAAGGCCAAAATTAATATGAGTTAGTAACAAAAGAATGTTAACATGTTGTTTAAGTGAGACGGTGGCCTTAAATAAAGTAGAATAATAAATAGGATTCAAATAGTTAACCTAAAGTAGTGGGGAAATGCTTCGTTGAGTTGAGGAAAAATAGGATTTGTTGGAGAATTACGTGATTTATGTAATTGTTAGATAAATTTGGAAAGTATTAATTGTCTGATTTTGTACTAATTACAGGCTAATATAGCTGGTGTATTAAAGTTTAGGTTGACTTATTTTATTTTCTGATCCTAGGGATTTGATTGTATATTCCTTAATTTACTGGATTCTGATCTGATTGTATTCAGCCTATAAAGGTCAGGCTGCTTTGTATTAGAAAGTCATGAAATATACTCCAGTTTTTCCCAATTTCTGTGTTATGGTATCAAAGCACTAGGTACTCTTTCTGGGATAAAATATTTCATCATTTACAGATTTCATAGCAGCTTGGAGTTCAGTTTTTTACAGAAGAAAAAAGAGATGTCAGAGGTTACACAAACCAGCTCTCAATCGGAGGAACCTACAATCCAACAACAGGCTCCTGGAGATCTACAGAACATTCAAGCTGCGTATAGGCTGAATGGAACGAACTATTTAAAGTGGTCTCAACTTGTTCAAACCTTTCTGAAAGGGAAGGGCAAGCTCAACCATCTTCTTGGAAAAAGGCCTAAGAAAGAAGATCCAAAGTTTGCTGCTTGGGACGAAGAAGACTCAATGGTCATGTCATGGCTATGGAATGCTATGGTACCCGAGATAAGTGATACTGTCATGTTTTTGACAACCGCTCAAGAGATATGGGAGGCGATCAGACAAACTTATTCGAAGAAAAATGATGCAGCCCAGGTGTACGAGATCAAGGTGAAGCTAGCTGCCACAAAACAAGGGAACAAGACTGTAACAGAGTATGCCAACACTCTGAAAAATTTGTGGTACGAGTTGGACTATTACCAGGTTCTCGAGATGAAGAACAGTGAGGATGCTGCGTTGTTGAAGGCTTCCATAGAAAAAGACCGAATCTATGATTTCTTAGCAGGCCTTAATCCGGAATTCGATACTGTAAGAGTTCAGACTTTGGGGAAAGGATTATCCTCCCTAAATGAAGCAATTGCAACTATTCGTGCTGAAGAGAGCAGGAGAGGAGTTATGTTGGATTCGCAGCCATTGGAAGGATCGGCACTCCTTACAACCGCTGCTAGTGAGCGAACTTTGGAGAAGAAGTCTTCAGCTATTACTGATTATAAGAAATCTGACCCGAAGAGGACATTCAAAGAGAATCTGGTATGTAACTATGCAAGAAAACTGGTCATACGAAGGACACCTGCTATAAGCTACATGGAAGGCCACAAAACATGAATCAGTCAAACTGGAATTCCGGAGGAAGAAGCTGGCAGCAAAAGGGAAAAGCCCGCGTTGCACAAAATAACACTAATAATACCAGTGATCAACCGAATTCCAGCAGCAGAGAATTCTGTAAGGAAGACATTGATCGCCTCCGATCCCTTCTTAATTCACTCGAAGAACCTACAGGTGCCTGTTCATTAGCACTTTCTGGTATGTATTCTGGTTCTCATGCTCTTAGTGTCTCGGATAATGTTTTAATCCACCCACACTCTTGGATTGTCGACTCAGGCGCAACCGACCATATGACCAACTCATCCCAATCTTTTTCTTCTTATAAACCATGCCCAAGTAATAAAAAGATCACCATAGCTGATGGGAATTTAGTCACTGTTGCAGGACAGGGGGACATATCCTTAGGACCTTCCTTGTGTCTTAAAAATGTTTTACATGTGCCCAAATTGACAACCAATCTTTTATCTGTCAAACAAATCACCAAGGATATGAACTGCAATCTTATTTTCTCAAAAAATTCATGTGTGTTTCAGGACCGAGCTTCGGGGAAGACGATTGGGCATGCTAAAGAAAAGGATGGTCTCTACTGTCTCGAGCCCATGAGTGGAAAAGTGAGTACTGGAATTGGTTGTTCATCTGTGCTTCTATCTGATTCCTCCACAAATAAAGACAAAATTCTCCTTCATCATTTTCAGCTTGGTCATCCTTCCTTCAGAACTCTTAGTCTTTTGTTTCCTTCTTTGTTTAAAACTGTTGATTTGAAACAAGTTCATTGTGATATTTGTGAAATTGCCAAACACAAACGTGTTTCCTTTCCTTTGAACAATAATAAATTATCAGTTCCTTTTTATTTGATGCACAGTGATGTTTGGGGTCCTTCACGGGTTGCTAATTATTCTGGGGCACATTGGTTTGTCATTTTTATAGATGATTGTACGCGGGTAACTTGGACTTTTCTCATGAAGCAAAAATCTGATGTAGCCAATATCTTTCCAATATTTCATAACATGATAAAAACACAGTTTGGGGTGAAAATTAAAAGGATGAGGACAGACAACGAGAGAGAATATTTTAACCAAATTCTTTCACCATATTTGAATCAGGAGGGAATAGTTCATGAGTCCTCATGCATTGACACACCCCAACAAAATAGGGTGGCCGAAAGAAAGAATGGACATCTTCTTGAAACTACCCGTGCTCTTCTTTTTCAAAGACAAGTTCCAAAATATTTTTGGGGCGAGGCCGTTCTTACAGCCACTCATCTCATCAACCAATTACCTACCAAAGTCTTAGATTTTAGAAGTCCTTGGGAAACACTTTCACATCATTTTCCAGACTTCCTTACTCCAAACAGGTTGTCTCCTCGGGTATTTGGTTGTGTTATCTTTACTCATGTTCATGCTCACAATCGAAGCAAACTTGATCCCCGAGCACTTAAATGTATTTTTATAGGTTACTCTTCAACTCAAAAAGGTTACAAATGTTACCATCCGCCTACTCGGAAAACCTACATTTCAATTGATGTCACATTTGTTGAACATGAGAGTTTCTTTCATCATCCTTCTCCTCAGGGGGAGGTAACAAGTGATGAAAAGGATGATGATGCCGATGTCCTCGATTTCGATCTTATGCCCAAATTGTCACCACCATCTTTGAGTCCAAGTTCTGCAACCACTCCTGCCTCGGTTTCCTTTGGTTCCCCTCTTACCGCGGCTTCTCCAAGTCCGGATCACATTCATTCCCAGGTTTCACTACCTACTTCCGATCCCAGTTCTGATATTCCTCCGCTTCAAAATCCAAGTGTGACATCTCTTGAATCTCAACCACAATCTCCTCCTAAAAATCCAACTCCATCAATCAATCAAGTAGTCACTAAACCACTTCAAGTTTTTTCGAGAAGGAAGAGAGGCAAGACTAATCCGAAGCAAGCCCAAAAGTCAGAACCTATGCTTGGGAAAGAAACCACTCAGGAGAAAAACACTACTCAGGTAAACAATTCCATTCTTGTGTTTGATGAGACTGATTTAGAACTACCCATTGTAGTTCGAAAAGGTACCCGAACGTGTACACAACATCCACTCTCTCATTTTGTTTCCTTTGAAAAATTATCTCCCTCACATAGAGCCTTCCTTACTCAGCTAAACTCAATAGCCGTTCCTAAAACATTGTCTGAGGCATTAAACAGCAGGGAATGGAAGCAGGCCATGAAAGTTGAGATGGACGCACTGGAAAAGAACAAGACTTGGGAGATGGTCAAATTACCGAAGGGAAAAAAAACTGTGGGATGCAAATGGGTGTTTTCAGTAAAATTCAATGCAAATGGATCTCTTGAAAGGTACAAGGCAAGGCTAGTAGCAAAAGGATATACCCAGACCTTTGGTGTTGATTATCAAGAAACTTTTGCCCCAGTGGCAAAAATGAACACAATAAGAATTTTATTGTCTCTGGCTGCTAACTTTGATTGGAATTTGCAGCAGTTTGATGTAAAAAATGCATTTCTGCATGGAGATCTTGAAGAAGAAATATATATGGACGCTCCTCCAGGATTTAGTTTTCCGAAGAAGAATAGGGTATGCAGACTAAGGAAGGCACTGTACGGACTGAAGCAATCCCCCAGGGCTTGGTTTGGCAGGTTTGCAAGAGCAATGTTAGCAATGGGTTACAAACAAAGTCAAGGTGATCATACTTTGTTCATAAAACACTCTTCTTCAGGGGGAGTTACAGTCCTCATTGTATACGTAGATGATATTATTGTCACTGGCAATGATCAAGCTGAAAGGAAAACTCTTAAAGCTAAACTGGCCACGGAATTTGAAATAAAAGACCTAGGCAAGCTGAAATACTTCCTGGGAATTGAAGTTGCTCGCTCCAAAGAAGGAATTTTCGTCTCACAACAAAAGTATGTTATTGATTTACTGAAAGAAACAGGAAAGATAGGTTGTAAGCCCGTGAAGACTCCCATTGAACCAAATCATAAGCTTGGAGAAGCTGTTGATGATGAGCTAGTTGACAAAGGAATGTATCAAAGACTTGTTGGAAGATTAATCTACTTGTCTCACACCAGGCCTGACATCGCCTATGCAGTTAGTGTTGTGAGCCAATTTATGCACAACCCAAAGGAAGTACATCTCCAAGCAGTATACAGAATCCTGCAATATCTAAAATCTAGTCCAGGTCGAGGCATATTGTTCAAGAGAGGATTGTGCTTGAACTTAGAAGTTTACACAGACTCAGACTATGCAAGTTCAGTGTCAGATAGAAGATCAACCTCGGGTTATTGTGCCTTCCTAGGTGGGAATCTTGTTACATGGAGGAGCAAAAAGCAGCCAGTAGTTGCAAGGTCAAGTGCAGAAGCTGAATTTCGTGCCATGGCTTTAGGAATATGTGAATTATTATGGTTGAAAATAGTCCTGAAGGATCTTGGAGTTTCAGTTAAGAGGCCGATGAAGTTATATTGTGATAACAAGTCAGCCATCAATATTGCACATAATCCAGTTCAACATGACCGCACCAAGCATGTGGAAGTTGATCGCCACTTCATAAAGGAAAAGCTCGATAATGGACTAATTTGCACTCCGTATGTCTCAACAAGAGGAAAACTAGCTGATGTACTAACCAAAGGGTTAGCCAGTCCTGCGTTTCAAAGAATTGTCTGCAAGCTGGGGATGGAAGATATTTATTCCCCAGCTTGAGGGGGAGTGTTGGAGAATTACGTGATTTATGTAATTGTTAGATAAATTTGGAAAGTATTAACTGTCTGATTTTGTACTAATTACAGGCTAATATAGCTGGTGTATTAAAGTTTAGGTTGACTTATTTTATTTTCTGATCTTAGGGATTTGATTGTATATTCCTTAATTTACTGGATTCTGATCTGATTGTATTCAGCCTATAAAGGTCAGGCTGCTTTGTATTAGAAAGTCATGCAATATACTCCAGTTTTTCCCAATTTCTGTGTTAGGATTCATATAGTTGACCTCAAATAGTTAGGAAAAGCTTTGTTGTGTTGAGAAAAATACAAGCATTACACAGAAATGTATCAATTATATCAACCTTGAGGGTATTGTCATGAACCAAACACCTAATTCCTCTTTTCTTTTTTTTTCTTTCTTTTAATATTTTATAAAATTTCCAATCTCTTACAATTCGTTGGATTGAGAGAGTAGGACCGAAAACAAATTAAAGGAAAATGAGGAACAGGCTTTTATTTTATTCCAAAAAAGAGAAACAAAAAAACAAAAAACAGAAAAGAGGCAAGGAAAGGAAAATAAGGAAAAGGTTGTTCACAAAATTAGATACCCCAGAAAGTAGGAGGAAATGGTAGATTAAAAAAAATGAATTCATGATTACCCATTTTCCCCTATCAATTTTCTTACTTATCAAAATTAAATAAATAAATAATCCCCATTAATTTGACAAGTGAGGTCCTATATTTCCCTTTTCTTAAACAAGAGTAAATTTTATATCAGTTCCTTTTTCTTTTCGGTCATTCAAACAAGAGGTATCCTTTTTCTCTCTCTCTTAATTAATGGTATTTTCCTTTCCATGCCCTCCAACTTATTAAAATGACCAAACCAACTACAATGACATTTTATAAATTAATAGGTTAACTATTATTAATCTTGTTGTTTTCATCCATTTATAACCATTATAGTTGTTGTAGACTAAATCCACCGAGTCATCCAAGTAGTCCTAATATTCTCACATCCAAGAGTAGTGGGACTGGATCCTTATCTATAGTGAATCACTACGTTATTTCAGTGGGTACAAACTGCCATTAGTTAATAAAAGTCCTGCATTCAATTTCCATGGAGGAGATTGTAGATTTTTTCGACTCCTTGAGAGTTTAGAGGCCCTTTTTGGCATTGTGTAGTTTCTGAGGGATGCGTTCCCCTTTTGAACGCCTTTTAATGCTTATATTACATAACAACAACAACAACAACAAAAAATTCGACTTATGAATCCTATGGGTAGACATCTCTGAACCTTAGAGCATCACACAGGTTATAGTACTTGATTCTCAGTGTCTTTTAAAGGCTAGCCTCTTTTTGGTTTCAATGGTTTTTCGGCTGGTAGGTAGACAGATTTTGTGAGAAATTGTGACTGAATCCATACCAGTTCAGAAGATAATTTAGAAAAGGCCAAGAAATAGAATCATAGGCCTTGACCAAATCAACTTAACCATAGTAGGCTTGACTGCTTTGTTGAAATATAATTATAGAACAGATGATCATAAAATCTTCAAATTCTTGCAGCTGCTATTTGAATCTTAGTGGTAAATAGAATATTAGATTCAAGAAATGTTCCAAATACTACCCATCTTGTATTTGGGGCTGCATGAGGCTGGTATTCAAGAATCTCCAGAACTGAACACTAAAAAAACCAACAAGTATTTTATGTGTGTGTGAGAGAGAGGCAACTCAAATATCCACTGTATGATAAGGACCAACTACTCTTGTACATGTGAATACTGAGAACAGTTGTATGACTCGATGGACCAAACCTCCAACAACCAAAACGGTCATAGATGGATAAAATAAATAAATAACTAAATGAACATTTTATTCACTACAATTATAGCAAGTATTCAAACCAAGCTGAGACCTTGGACTACTTTCCTATTACGGGGATATATATATATATATATATATATATAGAGAGAGAGAGAGAGAGAATTATTTGACAAGCTGCTTTCGTAAGGAAAAATGTTCGCATTTCCAAATTATCAGACATGGAATTGAGGAAAATATTTAAAGAAATCTAAATTTTACAAACAAATCTATTATCAAGATGTGATTGAATCAAACAAAGACCAGTAAGCCATTTTAAACACTTTATAAATAATGAACTACTATGTTCATGATCTTGTATTCTAATTAAGCATTATCAGTATTTGGTTGGGGATGCCTAGGTGCACCACATTCAACCAGCTGCTAGATTTGTTCTTGCAGGTCACAAGGGTGGACTGTAGCAGGTCTAAACTCAACAGAATGCTATTTACAGCTGTTCTATGGGCTTTGTGGGGCGAGAGAAACAAGAGATACCACCAAGGGGTTGAAGAGATTGCTAAAGCTACTTGCTATATGGTTGCTGATGCTGCTGGTCTTATCTTCCAAGATGTCATCAATTTTGTGTAATTCATTTATGTTGTTTGGTTTTAAGTTTGCTTTGTATTGGAAATGGTATTATTCCATTTCATAGGCTGGTTTGTTATGTGGGGGTATGCCCCTACATTGATCAATTGTACTGAGGAAGGGGGGCCGCCGGGCCGGGGGGGGGGGGGGGGGGGGGGGGGGGGGGGGGGTGGGGGAGAGTAACTTTAGTACTACAAATGCACATTTAACAGGAGAAGCAAAGTTGTCACAATTATGTACAGGAAAGATAGGAGAAATGCCACTAATAAACTACATAAAATAAGATAAAATTTATAAAAAAATAAATTTATTCTATTTTCTACAGCTTTCTCAGAACCACATAGGCCATAAAGAAAACACAAAGAAAGAAGGATTAGGAAGAGTAATAAATATCTAAACTCACCAAGTTTCGGCTATGGAGGAAAATTTAAGAAGCTCAGCTTCGTTCAAAGACGACGATGAAGTTGGAACCCTAGTGACATTTTTCACATCATTTGTTGTATCACCATTGATTGGAGGCTTCTCAGGTAAAGACGGATTGATTGGAACTGGTTGAGGAACATCAGAGTAAGGTCTTATGCGAAGAATGGTTTGAGGAGCTCTGAAAATTGAACGTTTAAGAGAAAAATTAGGGCTTGGGTTTGAGAATCTGAGAATATGGTGATCGGTTTTACACAGAATTCGGAGATGGTTCAGAAGCTTTGAAGCCATTGTAAGGGGCGCAAATCCTCGGTCCCAATTAGTGCAGCCTTAAAGGCGCGTTTGGCTTGAAATCAAAACAGATTAAGTCAGACAGTGTTAACCTTAATTACATATCCAAGCAATGCAATCCACATCCCTTATTGACAGTTTAGGTAGGTCAACCATGTCCAATTGAACTATTAGCTAATTGCACAAAATGTTTAGAACTTTCAGAATGACCATATATGGGAGACCAAGGACATACATGCTAAGTCAATACAGGGAATATGATGCTAAATGAATTGTGACGAATTGGTGAAATTTTACACTCTTCGGCTCCATTTGTTTGGATGTAAATATTTTTCAGAAAATATATATATTTTTTCTAGTGCGTGGTTGTTTTAAAAAAATATGCGAAGAAAAAGTTGTTAAAATCTAACAAAAATAACTTACTTATCAATTTTCGGCATGGTATTTTACACGCCCGGCTGGATGGACTCAACCTCAAGCTCGACTTAGACATTTGGAAAACACCATAAAAGTAAAAATAAAAATCATATTTTACGTAAAAAGGGAAAATCTTTTCCGAGGAAAATATTTTATGTTGAAACAAACCAAGCCTTCATGTATGAAGATACAATCTTGGAGAAGCCCCAAAGATGAAGTTGCCTACTAAGGAATAAAGCTGTGAAATATCAGATCTCACTCTTAAAAACATGATCTTATTAATTCATTTCTCTCGTTTGTCTGAACAAATGCATGCTAATAGGATAGTTGCAGAACTGGTGCCCTCACACAAGTAACTATAAATAAAGGAAACTATAGAATTAAGATGATGAAATTATCAGAGGAACATAAAGGATCACACTCCTGCTCAAGTGACAAATTAAGCTGACAGAAACAAACAAAAATGTATCTATTCTTTTGATGTAAATTTCACAGAAAAAGTACATAAAATTTATCAAATGTAATCAAAGGTATCGTCCTCGTCAATGTCATTCAAATGTAGTCTGATACTTATATGTATAGACACAGAGAGAAAATGAAGAACATATAACTCAGTAAACAATTGAAATCACAGAAAACTTACAAAGTGAGTTTGAAGCTGCAGTCGTCTTCGCGAGAGACAGCGAGAGCAACCCACTTCTGCCGCGATTACTGATTCGGTTGCGAGAGAGAACCAAAAAGGAAAATCGCTAGATTAATAGAAAATGGAAAATATAAATAAATTATAAAAATAATGTGTAACAGGGTTAAATTTATTTAGACCCCTGTGGTTTATCAATATTTCAAGAAGACCCCTTTCTTTTTCTGAGTCGCATCAATTTCCCCCTCATGTAAGGGTCAAACATGGTCAAAGACCTTTTTTGGCTGAGTCATGATGAAATTTACTGAAAATACCCAATTTACCCTTAAAAGAAGTAAAAAGACAGCTACAACCGTCACTTAGTATCCTAAACTGAGCATCATCTCCGGTGACACGAGAGACCACTAGCACCGGCGAGGTTTAGTCCGGCGAGGACCACTAAACTATCATCAACCAACGGCAGCGACTAAAACACATAGTATAGTGATGACCCACCTCAGCAAACGGCCTACATGTAACCACAAAGGTACCCACATCGACGCAACGAGTTTCAGTGGGCTCATAAACGGCTTACTCCTCCAGTGATGGTGAACCCACTTCTGTGACCATGAAGCGAGCACTCAAGCAACAACAAGCTCACGTTGCTTGCAACTCTGGCAATGACAAGCTCACAAGTTACAACAAGCTCATGTCGCTTGCAACTCCGGAGTCGACGACCCACCTCATTTTGGAAAACTCTAGTCCAAACGTTGGTGAGCTTCAACAGACCAACCACGGTACCCACGTTGACGCAATGGGTTTCAATGAGCTCACGAACGGCTTACTCCTCTGGTTGCATCATAAAATTAATTTTTTCTATTAAGACGCAAGGTATAGGTATTATTTGATTGGAGGAAAAGATATATATGGTATTATTAAATAGGATTCTTATTTAAAAATTGGAGTCTTAAGTCAATAAATTGCCTAAGTCAACTTTATTCCACAAACACGATTCATTTGGATAAGTTTAGGACAAAAAACAAAATGTGGATAAGATTGAGACAAAGGAAGTTGTTTTGTTAATTCAAATATATTATTTGAATTTGAAAAGGAAACTTTCGATTACTGAAAATAACGACTGCTCCATACATCTATAAATAGCACCATGGGGCTTTGTGCAAAAGATCACTGACCAACACAAATATCTTGTTTCTTTATCTATGTTTTTCATTCTCTACAATTCAATACATTCTTTTAATTGTAATTCCACTTCTTGTACTATGTATAAGAATTTTACATGAAATAAAAGTCGACGTTTGGCATTAGTCCCTCTATTTTTATTTTCTAAGTCTCTTATAATAAATAAATGCTCGTGTAATTTATTTTACTTCCTTCATCCATTCTAGTTATAGTGCCGAAAGTCCTTTTTATTGAGGCGTTGAAGAACTTGAAGGGAGGGGTCATTTTTGCCTTCCAGCAATCGCCTATTCACTTAAGGTCGATTTCAGATTCGGTCAACACCAAAGATAGTTTGGCTATCCAACTCTTTAGGTCGAAAAATTCTGGCATGCCCCTAAAAAAATAGACAAACATTCTTCGATGACGACGAACCTTCTTCGATGACCGTAGAAACTATAGGAATAAAATATTAATTCATGAACGAGGGTAAATAAACATTTCATTCCTTCATTTTACATCGTGGACAATGTTTGATAAGGGATTTGACTAAAGATTTGCAAATGTGGGGGTGCTCTTGAAGTATTGACAAACCACATGGGGTATAAATGAATTTAACCCATAATAATATATAATAGTTAAAATTGAAAAGAAAATCTAGTGATGAATTTGTATTTTAAAAAAATAACGTGTAATGGAAAATTGTCACATTAAGTAATAGAAAAGGGAAAAATAAATAAAAAATATAAATAATGTTGGCTATTAGTCACTATTTTCTTTTTCTGAATATTTTTTTATTTTTTATTTTATTTTGCAAAAACTGGGAAACAACCTTATTTTTATTTTTACCTTTAACTAACCTTATTTTTATTTTTTTTATGACCGTTATTAAGGACATCATTTCTTAGAAAACCCAACGAAAAATGATTAAGTAAACAAATTATCAACTTAATTTGTGATTTTCATTCAATTGTGCTCCATGGACTTCCAGTTTGTCAAAGATCTGGATGTCTTTGTGCCTTGTTGGGAAGGTAACATGAATCGTAACTAAACTAATAAAAGAGGGATGAAATCTCTAGCATAGCCTTGGATGGTAAATGGGTGCCGCCTCGAACTGGAGAAATAAAATGCAATGTGGACACCTCCTTCTCTCAATATTCTCATGTAGGCGAAGGGGGAGCATTCTTCAGGGATGATCTTGGGACCATTTGTAGGATTGTGCACGTTTAAGGCTAAGAACGCCTCAACAGCAGAGGCCATTTGCCTTCGTAAAGCAGCTTTCTGGGCCCTTCAGTTTGGGTATGATCATTGTTGATTTGAAAGCGACTCCTAGGTAGCGTGTAATGCTATGATTAATTTGGAGTCTTGTCAAATGGAGATGAAAGTTATTGCTTATGACTTTCGATGTGTGCTTCAGAGATTTGCCTCATCATTAGCCATGTCAGGAGAAATGGCAATGAGATTGCCCATAAGTGGCCATGCTCTTGCGAAGTCACACTTGCCAGGACATTGTTTTATCTCATATTCTAGTGGACATTCTTCTTTGTGCTGAAGTTGACTTAAATCATTCCAGAAGATTTTAGTTTCTTGTGATGTTGCAGGCGAGCTGCCAGGAAGGCAAAAAATAAAACAGAGGTGTACTTGTGTATATATATATATATATATACACTCAAGTTACACTTGTATGAAAAGAGCAAATCCAGTAGAGGACCAAAGCATTCATGTGAAATTAGTCACTCAAATTTGAATGCTATGGGCCTGAACCTTTCATTTTGAAGTGGATGTCATGTAGATGGCAAGCAAAGTATTTGGTATATATATTTTTTTTAGTTAACCTGATGTCCGGGATGGCACGAACTCGTAGGGCCCCTTGACAACCCAACTAATACCCGAAGATCCGAAAGGCCACCTCCCCACCTGAACCGGATAAGTCACTGCAGGGGTAACGGAGGCTAGCCACAAAGAACACCCAACGGGATTCGAACCTCAGACCTTAGGTTTACTAAGCTCCAAAGTCCAGCAAGTAAACCGCTGGACATATCCGAAGTGGATTATACTTTTCTCTCTTTCTTAGCGAGAAACTCACATTCTTTTGTTTCCACGATGATTCAAACTTTACATTCACTTTGAGAGGCAAAGGAAAGGTGTTTAGTTGGATGAGCATTGAACTTGCTTCTCAAGCAGTGTGGCCTGTCACCGGAGGTCACCGGAGATGCGTTGGAATATCCATTTATAACGGCAATATTTGCTGTTATTAACGGCTATTTTTTACTGTTTCAAATATAGGGCTTGGACAGCTCTTGCTCTGGACTCTTCTGGTCTTGTTGGGCCTAATTTGGCTTACTGTATCTGTTACTGTTAACAAAATTGTAAATGTTCTTTCTTCTCAGGGCCCTCTTTGGGCCCAAACTGTAACACTTATATCTATTTAATTGCTTCATCATTCCAAAAAAAAAAAAACTTAGAAGCTTGTGAGCATGGCAAGGGCCAAGGATCCAATGACTACATATACATAATATTTGTCATCAGCAATGCAGGGGAACTGCCAATCATTATTGTTCTAAGTTCCCTTTTTTTTTTTTTTTTTTTTTTTTTTTTTAAGTCCTATAATTTTGTATGGATTTTGACATGGATCATTTTTTTTAAAAAAAAAATAGAGATTGTTCGACATTTTTGTTAGTCAACAAACATTTCACTAAAAAAATGTGAGTAAAAAAAGTGTTTTTTTATAAAATTTCAAACCTACCATTTTACTTAAATTACCCTAGTCACGATTTGTATCCGTCGCCTCTTTGCCCCCTTTTCAATCCTTAATTCGGGTAACAAAGAAAGAAAGAAAAATAATAATAATAATGAAAAAAAGGAAAGAGACGGACATGGTTTCTTCTGCGAGTTCTGTCATTGGACTTGATGAATGATTTATGACCACAAAAGACTAAAGTTCTCTTGAACAATGCTTAAGTTGTAGATGATTCATGCCTTCAAATAGAGAATTCAATTATTTCTTTTTAAACATGCCTATAAATTTTGTACTATTAACAATTGAATTATTTTTACCAACTCTTTTAAAAAAACTAAGAGTCTACTTGGTTTGTAATTATGAAAATAATTTTTTGTTCTCAAAAAACAGAAAACTGTACGAAAATCACTGCTTGGTTCAGTTTTCAGAAAACTATTTTCAGAAAATTCAGTTATACAAATGTCTGTCTTCAGAAAACTATAAAAGATTGTTCTCTGAATTTTTTAAAACTATTTTCAGAGTTACAATCCAAACAAACCCTAAAGTTCTTTTCTTCAGCCTACTACTCAAGCAATTAATGGAGAGAACTTTAGTTTTTAATCTTTTGAAGTTATGAATCAATCTCATGACAATCATTCACCAAGTTCATGCAAATTTGCAGAAGATATCATGCTTCCGTTTCTTTTCTTTTCTTTTTATTTACCTCAATCAAGGATTGAGAAGGAGGAAGGAACATTAAAGACATTATAGTTGAATAGAATTGTGTGCAACAAATGTTTTGATTTACTTATTTTTATCCATTGATTATTAAAATTCGAGATAAATATTAATAAAATGAATTTTATACGTGGAAGGGCAAGACAAAAAAAATCCTTGGTCTATACATATAGATAAATAACCGAACCATCCTTTAAATATTTCAAAATATAGAATGTGCGAGTTTTGGCGTACGAATTATTTCTGTGTAAACTTTTGGAATGTCCAAGAACATTTTAGAATCCATTGTACTATAATACTACTATATTACAGCATTTCATTCTCTTTATTTATTTATTTTATTTTATTCTGAAATGACAAGGAGCATCCCAAGATTTCAACACATCTATTAAAATGTTTTAACTCTTAATTAATTGATGTTTTTAGAGGCCAAGTTATAAACCCTCTCTAAACTAGAAACCAGCAACGTATATGAGACAGACACACAAATACAGTGAAAAAGAAGTAAACA